CCGTATTTTGACGAGCCTGTAGGGCGAGTCAAAATACAAACAACGGGTAAAAATACTCAGCGATACTACGCAACAGAACGTCTAATGAGAGATTTGTTATCCAACACGCCAAATTGTTCCCGAATTTCGCGGATATTTCTGGAGTACAAACATCGCGTGATATTTGTACTCGTCTCGCGCGTTATTTGTACTCTACGCCGGAAGCACAATTTGATAATAAAATGATTTACTTATGCAACGCATGTAGATTAGTTTCTGTGATTTAATACTGCGTAAAAAATTAAGTTTGTTTGTAGTCGAATCAGTTTGCTTCCTAATCCAAACAAAACGATTGGAGCTTGTGGACTATTGAGTTTACAATGACAGGTAAGATATCCAGAATAGTTATAGCGATTCTGTTCTTGAAAGCGCCCGCTACAAATATAAAGTATGCAGCTCTTACTGGACAGGTGTCACAAACAGTCCTAATATACACATCAAACGACATTTCCACTGTAGAGATGTTAGGAATTACTTACACTGCTTGTGATGATTCCTATAAACATGAAAGCGATAAAAAGGACCTCATGCACCATTGTAGAGATTGCACGACAAGGTGAGTCTTTATGAACCAGGTATCTTGATTCTAAGGATAATGCTATTACGAGAGATTCGTTTCTTCCGCCAGCCTGCGATTTGATTATTTGGAGAGGGATATTTGAGCGAATGCGGAAAAATGTATTGTGCAACATCATCACGCTTCATAAATCCTCAAGTATTTGGGTTTTTCCCTAAATGTGACGTTTTCATTGTTTTTCCTTTTAATTGTAATGATTGGCTGTAATCTGGCCAAGAGCTAGGGAATGGAGGGGGGGGGACGGTAAATGGAGGGGGAGGTAAATGGGAGAAGACAAAAGTTTGATCTGTTATGATTGAGGATGATCTGTAGTTGATCGATGATGAGATGAGAATGAAGACTTTTTTAACAGATGATTTTAGGGTAGGAAAGACAGTTAACCGTTCAATTTCAAGGGGGGGGGAGAGGAGAGGGTTTACCTTTTGAACATCTCAAAACAATTCTTGAATTTTCAACTACTTCGGTCTCCATTAAAACTTTTCATTTTTCACTTTTTAGGCATTTTTGTTATTTCTGTAATTCATTTTATGTAGGGCCTACTGAAAACCATGTTTGTGATGTGTGCTCCCTGTTGAAATATTTTTATTACCGTGTTTTTACTACTATGCTTTAGTTGATTGTTTTAATAGAAAACGTGTCCTGCTCTGTTCTAATGACCAAAATATATTACTTACATCGGCAATCAGTTTTAATTCTGTTTCTATCAAAATAAACAGTTCTCTTCGCTAAAAAAAAAAAGGAATTTATACCCCTTTTTACTATGTAAATTCGCAATGAAACAAGAACCTCTTTTATTGCTGATCATGTGTACGTTCCTGATAGCCTTTTCGAGTTGATCAACAACAACAAAAATATTACAAGGAGAAGCTTGACGCTGAGGAGAAGGAAAGTTCTAAACAAACGCTTATAACTTAAAATAAATTACGAACTTCCTTAGGCGTATGAATAGTAAAGCTATCAATTGATAAGGCTCTCACGATTCCATTCCAACAAATTTCTGGCCTTTTCGCTGACCGAGCATTCGTCTTACACTTAATGGCAACCGAGTCACAAGAGGATTCATCGACAAACAAAAATCGAGGAGAATTGATGTTTTAATTGGCCAGCTAAGTCGGCTGAAAAGGTATTTCCCACCGGCAAATGTCTGTTATACATGTGGAAAACCAGCTCGTTCTGAGCCAACATGTACTAGAATTGTGGAATCTTTATACTGTCGTCCAAGGACTTGCGGCGCTTTCTTGTACTGGAGCAGCAGCATCACACTCTACAACTTAATAAGACAGAAAGTTGATTTAAAACGTACGCAGCAAAAAATTAAGTCCATTTGTTTTTTTGTTTTTTTTTTTTCTTGTCGCTCTCCCTTACTCCTTACAGCTTACTCTTTTAGCATGGTTTTTTTTTTTCCGTTGATATGTTTTGACGGCGCGCGACGAAAGGAAATATTGGCAGAAATTAGCTAATTTAGGGGATTTAAAATTCGAGGATAAATAAAGCATTCTCTTCGCTTCAAGTGACATGAAGGCAGGAATACATGAGCAGCAAAGTCACCACTAGTAGTTTTGAACTTATAAATAGTTGGAATAATAGATGATGCAGGGTTGCCGAACCAATCACGGACCAGTGTAAGGTAGAGTTCTGCAAAACCAATGCAATCCCGAAGTATTTACGACAGTCAATTGGAAAATTCTAGATTTTATTCCAAATGCAACCGAACCTGGAATAAGGATGTTACTAGAAATAAAATAACATTTCAGCGACCATACCTTCTCTTAACTTTTTCAAAGCTTCCGTGCAGCGTTCCTCACGAAGGACATCACACAGTTTTTTGGTGGTAGCTTTCTCGCCGAAACATTCTTTCCACTCCAGTAGACCTTGGTAAAACATCTCTTGCACCCCATATTCCCTATGATCGACACATATACTTTCGATTAACGCCTCCTTCAAACCCAGTTTTCGCAAAACATCTTTCCATTTCAAACCGGTTTCCCCGCGTAAGCAGTTGAAATGTTCTACTGTTGCTGGTTGTCTGTTACTGCCTAACGAGGTCATATCGCGGCTGAAATATTCTGTTTGATCGGTCCGGGAATCATCTACAAAAAAAAATTAAAGTAATTTATTAGACAACATTATAGCATTTATCGGGCAAATCCTCAGGCAATTCTTTCTTATTAATTTAACCACGTTAGAGGTGGAGAAAGGGGGAGTTTTTGTTGTATCATTAAGTCGCGTCAATCCTGCCACGGGACTTTTATTCCCTCAATTAAGCTGTGCAGCACGCTAGAGTCATTTTCCGTTGAGTTTCGGTAGAAATCTGGAGTTGTTTTAGTTTGCTTTACTTCGCTCTGTGATTGGTTCAGAAAATTCGCACCACTTTCTCAACCAATCAATTGCAAAACTTGAATCAATTGCGACTTGTTCGCTCCTGTTTTCCCGTGCTTCAGGCAGTTTGCCAGAGTTTTACTTTGAGTTCTCATCGGCTCCTGGTGATATCTGCCTGTTAGTAAAGATTACTTTGGTTTTGGTTTTTTGATACAATAATCAAAATGCACTCTAACTGTCCTAGTCAGGTTTCAGTTAGGGAAGATCGAGCGAAGAGATTGAATTTCGCTTCCAGAATTCATTCTCTGCAAAAATAATTGGTATTAAATTGTTCCTAAATCACTCGATTTCCCGTTTTCGTAGATCCCAGGAATTTCTAGATGTAGCTAATACTATGCCGTAAAATTTGTTACAAACTGAATTGTCAAAACATCCAGAAACACGAGAGAGAGACATTTATGGTCCTTTGGAGAACACCACTCCGGTTTAAGCCAAATGACCTGAAAGTTTTCAGGTCCAGGGCCCACATGGAAGATGAAGTATGAAGAGGCAAGGACCCGCTTCAATTAAACACGTTTTCTCAGCATTAGATTTACTAACTCTCTTCATATGCGCTTAAAGAAGTAATTCTTAGGAAAGAGAAAAACGACCTTTACAGGGGGTCTCAATGGGGTTAACACCGTCAACCGTCAAAAACGCAATATTTTTTTACCGTCAACTGTCAAAATACCAAGCCAATGTTAGCCGTCAAATGTCTCAGATATCCTTAATTAAGAACTAAACGATTGCCTTAATTGGGGTCTAGTTATGTTGTTTATAAATAAAAGTTTTGACGTCTAACGTTGAGCGCGGGATAAACCATATGTGGCTACCGAAATAGACATTCCCCGGTTTTCAAGTTGCGATGTACCACATTCCTTGAATGCAAAAATTAAAGTCCCTCAGCGATATCAATCACTGCCGTGAGAAAAAGCGGTAACAAATGTTAAAAGGCTTCGCCTGCTTGTATTCTATCGAGGCAAAGCAATAATTCGAGGAGATCTAAACCTGAACCGTCAAGACCGAATGGCAGGAAATCAAAACACTCGTATTCCATAATTATAGCAACCGGTTTAAGACCGATTAAAATAATTTGTACGATCGAGTTAAAGCTCCATTAACCAGTAGTGTTTACAATTACAACCACCTCCCGCCCCTCCCTAAGTGATAACAGTCTGCCTCCCACCCCCCCCTCAGTACTTATAAACTGCACCCATCCCTCCCTGAGTACTAATGATGTGCTTCCCCCTTTATAAAATGGCCTAAAAAAATGGTCCAAAAAAGGGGTCCAAAAAATGGTCCAAAAAATATTCCAGTCAAGTCCATATTTTACCCTATACCTTTCCGCTGCCTTCGATACAGTCGATCATACCATCCTCCTCTCTCGTTTACGTGTACGGTTTGGGATTGCTGGAAAGCCTCTATTATGGTTGCAATCTTATTTATCGAATCGCACGCAATATGTCTCCGTCGATGGTGGTACTTCTACGAAACATGACCTTAAATGTGGAGTGCCACAAGGATATGTCTTGGGACCCATTTTGTATTTGCTTTATACTTCGCCGCTTTCAGATATCTTAAAGAAATTTAACCTGAGCTATCACTTTTACGCTGACGACTCACAGCTTTACTTGTCTTTCCCACCAACCGTACTGGGTGATAGGGATCTAGCGGTTTCTAGCATCGAGAGCTGTGTGAATGAAATTAATCATTGGATGATGGTTAATCGCCTTAAATTAAATAAAGACAAAACTGAATTATTGGTGATCTCCGCTAAACATCTTCCAAGACCACTCCTTCACGAAATTTCAGTTGCTGGTGAGACTATACATTCCGTGCAAAAGGCGAGGAATATCGGCACTATGTTTGATAGCCATTTTTGCTTTAACGATCATATTACTGACATTTGCAAATCTTCATTTTATCATTTGCGAAATATTAGCTATATCAGGAAATATCTTTCAGCGACCACTACTGAATTGCTGGTTCATATGTTTGTATCTTCGAAGCTGGATTACTGTAATTCCCTTTTGTATGGCCTACCAGCCTACACTATAAAAAAGCTACAACACGTCCAGAATGCCGCGGCGCGCCTCGTCACACTTACAAAAAAGCATGATCACATTACGCCTGTTCTTTTCAATCTTCATTGGCTTCCCGTTAATCAACGTATTATTTTTAAGATTTTACTTATAACCTACAAGGCACTTAACAACTTGGCACCGTCGTACATTTGTGATTTGCTTACATCTTACACCCCATCGCGTCAACTACGCTCATCATCCAAGCACCTTCTGGTTTCTCCATCCTATAACTTGAAAACATATGGCGCAAGATCCTTCTCTGAAGCAGCACTGTCATTATGGAATGCTTTGCCATGTGAAATTAGAAATGCTCAGTTTGTGTCTGTTTTTAAAAGTAGATTAAAAACTTTTCTTTTTAGAAAAGCCTTTAAAGTTTTTGTAGGCGCCTTTGAACAGTAGGATACTGGCGCGGTATAAATCTTTTATTATTATTATTATTATTATTATTATTATTATTATTATTATCATCATCATTATTATTATTATAAACGGCATCCCAAAAATTAAAAGGGGTTATTTTTAACCGCCAACCGTCAACTTAACCCTCCCCCTCCCCCCCCTTATCGAGACCCTCTTTACAACGATATACTAACAAATAAGACGAGAAAAATAAATACAAAGGTACGACGAGACAAAAACTTAACAAATGATGAAGGAATATACGTAACACGAAACATTCCTAGGGAAAAGGTTTACATCGAAGCAAAAAAAGGCACACTGCTATAAGGAGCGGAAAACATGATATATAAAGGACGGCATGATTTACCTAAAGTGCGAAAATAATGGGCATGAAGGATACATGAGATAACGAAAAGAATAAGCGTAAATTAATTGACGCAAAAAGCATAGGACTTCCATGCGAGAATTGAAGAATATCACAAATTCGCCACAACACACATCTTAATCATCTCTTGCACCATTTTTTTTCTTTTTTTTTTGTGCTTATTGTGAGAGCACTTTTCGTCTGAGTTTCGTGAAACCAAAGTAATCAGAGTGACAAACCAGAAGAAAGAAAATTACTTGTAAGAGCCCGCCAATGTGCACTCAAAGTAAAGTCCAGCCAACTGCACAAAGCGCGGGAAAACGCAGAGGAATTAGACGCAAATGATTTAAAATCTCGCATCTGATTGGCTGAGAAAGTGGCATGAACCGTTTAGGCCAATCAAGGAGCGTATCAAAGGAAAACCAATGAAATCCGCTCAATTGAAAATTGCGCTATTATGAAAACCAATCGTTGTTACAAACCCATTAAAGTTGTCGTTTCTTCGCTTCCATTGATCTCGTTCTCCTCTGGTATTGTAATAGAAACTGAATCCGCCACCTCACAACCGTTAGAAGGTGAGTCACTCCCAGAACTTTCGACAATAGTCTTTCGACTAGTCTGCGGATTGAGTAATAAACAAAATTTGAAAAATAGCTTCGAAAACAAATTGACTCATAATTAAGTCCTAAGCCATCCTACAATTGTCACGCGACTTCGATACGATTCCTTTGGGTTTGTTTCACAAATATTTAACAATATTCACCGAGCCTGAGGTAAATAATTGCTGTAATATAATTTGTCATATGATTATCATAGGTAGAACGTAAATTTTATTCTATTTCTTCGGGTCCAACATGTCATGCATTAAAGAACTGAGACACAAAGTCTAGCGCTTAGATCATATGGTAAATCTGTAACCTGCACATGACATAAGCAAAAACTGAATGAAACGTGTTAATGTGTAGTGATCGTGTCAACATTCGTTGGCCAGAAAGCGTTTAACAGGCTTAAGATGCCGGACAATAAGCCAATTGCGACTGGTCAGATCCAAAATATTCTGCGTTACTTCGATAACGGTCTGATGCGGGATGATTATAGCGAGATATGAGCGAGATATGACGCAATCCTCGACCAATCAGAGCCCGTGAATCTCTCTAGACATCTGAGCAATTGCAGTATACTGTTATACGATAGGGATAAGAATGTTCTGCGATTTGATGATGATTATTGCACGACTGGGAAACGAATTGGGAGCGAATTTTTTACGACTGAGGTATACAAACAGAACAAGTAAAATGGTTTACGACTGGGTTTCCAATTTCATACGACTTGGGCACCGAGGTTCACAAATGTTAGAACATTGCTACGCGAGTGTTTTATGACTTCTGGGCCCAGTTATATATTCGAATAGTGGAAAACGTTGTCCTATATGGATAAATCGCTATCCAGCGAATAAGTGTTAACAAAACGTACTGTGCCGGATAGAGATTTCTCCAGTGGATAGAGTTATCCATCCTTCGAACAACTGCGACCTGTACGATGGTATACTTTACCTGTCGCGGTGTATACCCTGGGTAAAGATAAATTGAATACTCCGTGGAACTGTCTTCTTGATTAAATTTAAGATTGCAAGAAAATTCGTCCACCCCTAGACGTGCTGGTTTAACTGCAAAATCACATGCATCTTTTGCACGGAATCCATTGCGATATGCGGTTTCGTAGTCGTATCTCTACAAAGAAAAGATGCAACAAAATTAGCTGCTATGTAAACTACTTGATATAAGGAAAGAAAAGTGAAGCATCCAAGTGTTTCTTTGATACATCAATTCTCTCCCACTCGCCAACACCTTGGCCAACTACGCGCTTAATTTCATAACTGAGGTCACGAGAAAACATGAATGAGTTGTCATGGTACGAAAGGCGACACGTTAAGTAACATTAGACATTTGTTGGGGATGGAGGGGGGCATAGAATCGAGTTTAAAGGAAATTCAAGATGGCGACATGTAATAATTTTCAATGTCCGGCGGTTACACCACAGAGTCCGTTTGCATTACATGTTCAAATCTGCTCAATACCTCACCTGTACACTGGGAGTCTTGTCCAGTTCCCAACCGTCTTGAAGATCAGTGAGCTTCACGATAACATCTGTTTCGCCGTCGCACATCTTAAAGGGTTTCTCCTTTGATGATTTATGGCCGGGAAAAGACTCTTTCTCTTGTTCTTTCACTCGCTTGTCAAATCAAACCATAAGAATTACTATTTGAGATGTTATAAAACAAATTTCAACACAAACACAGCAACAGATAGTAGAAAGTCCACTCCGGTCTTCCTCTTTTTTCGCCCCGCCGCTACCATCGCGCCATTTAATTGCTATTTTGTACCGTTTACCAACTGATCGCCGGCCCAGAACGGAATCGTCTGAAACTTCTGAAGACACGGTTTCCGACATACCTTCTTTGAATCCTCATTATCACTGTAAATGTAGAAGCGTAGGTAAATGTGATCGCTTCTCGTGTTATGTCTGCTAAAGTAAACTCTCGCTCTTTTCCTCTTCGTTCCGCCACAGGCAAACACGCTCCATCTGGAAAAGGTCGTTGTCTTGATGTGGATGGAGTTCTTCTTCACTGTAAACCATGCTTTGGATTGGCAGTTTTTTTCTGATGCTGAAGGAACTTTCTCCCATTTTAGCGGCCCTTTAAAAGAATTGATGAGAAGGCGTCTTTAAAGACCAGCCATTATTTATTGCGGAGGGACAGGGGGACAGATGATTTTGGGGAATCGCACGGCTTTCAGAGGGAACGGAGGGGGGTCATTCGTTACCGACAGAGCGTAAAAATGGGGGGCTATAGAAAATTGACTGCCCGTGGGAGAGGATCATACGAATATTAGAGAGCCTTAGGGGAGGGTTTCAATGGAGTTAACGGTCGACCGTCAAACGGCCAAAATATTAACCGTCAATTGTCAAAAACGCAATATTTTTGCCGTCAACCGTCAAATAAGCAACCCAATGTCAGCCGTCAAATGTCTCAGATATCCTTAACTAAGAACTAAATGATTGCCTTAATTGGAGTCCGGTTCTGTTGTTTATGAATAAAAGTTTTGACATATCACGAAAATACATTTATGTAAGTCCTTTAACTTCTAATCGCGATTAAAACTGATTAGCGACAGAATTGACTTCCGGTTTGGAAATACTTCCGGTGTCGTAAATCGTTAGTCATTTATTAATAGAAGAAATTATAAATTAACGGTTCTTTACAAACGTGTAATTATGAAAAGTTAGAGCCAAAAAAAACCTCTACCTCCCCCCCCCCCCCCGCCCAAGTGATGAAAAATGAAATCATTAAATGACGGTGTAGATACCATAACTGCGATAACATACATGCAAGTATATAAAAATCCAGGAAAAATGCTTTCCAAAACCATGACAATGATTTTTATATGCTTTGGTCAAATGAGTTGAACCGGCTACTGGTTGTCTAGGGATGAGATTAAAATTTGTTCATTGTATCTGTTAAAACATTACCATCACAAAAAGTTGAAAATCGAGGAGCGAGGAGGTGTTCCCATACCCCAAGTCTGGGGTGGATCCAGGGGTGGTTCGAGTGGTTCGGTCGAACCCCCTGAATTTTCCCTCAGAACGCTGGAAATCATGTTTCCGAAGACCTAATTTTCAAATTCTCGGACCCCTTAGGAGGGGGACAATTCTCCGAAACCCCCTTGACTAAATCCTGGATCCGCCCCAGCAAGTCCGAATCAACTTTTACGTTCTCAGGCTGACAAGATTGAGCGACAAATCAAGTCGGACATATTGTTTGGTTAGTCCTGCGTTCTTTTTGGTCCATTGCCTAAATTTAGCTTTTTGATGGGTTTATAACGCCCCTGTGCCACTCCCATAGAAACCAATCCCCGCCTCGCCCCAGTCCCAGCGTATAATAGTATAAATAGCTCCACATTCGCGCGGGTTCTAAAATTTGCAAGGACTTCGTTAGTTAAAGGTCGACCAACGTTAGTTCTTTATGCAGTATTCCCAAATCGTCAGGTAATGTCTCCTATCTTCGCTTGTTTCATATTTCAGCCTGTGTTATCGCGTTTCCTATGTTATTTCATTGTTGTAATTAGTTGTTCCGCTGTTAATGTATTATGTCTGTAACCTTCGTTCTAGAAACCACTGGCAACTACATCTTTATTAAGAGTTTAAGAATATCAAATTTCTTTACGTCTTCGAATATTTGCTGGTGCGTCGTTAACATGCCCGTAAAAGCACTTTTGATGAAAAGTGCTTTTGCATAGCGATTTATAATTACCTTCAGAGGATGGCTCACATCTGTAAACCCTTATCGAGTCTTTCTTGACCTTGTCCAAGCACAGATCATGTGGAACAGTGATTTCCACCGGCTTCAACAAGGTTAGGCCGTGAGGTCCACACTCGATAACGGGGGAAATTAGTTTTCCATCGGGCATTTCTGGGATATCCTGCAACAAAGTAGTGTCATGCTTGGGCACACGGAAGAAAAAAGGGTGTTTATTTCCCTCGGGAACTGCTCCACTCCCTACAGTGATAACTACATCAGAGTCCGGCGCAGAAAGCTTTCCACCAGAACTGTCGAACCTGGCCTCTGCTTCCGTTATGTAACTAAGCGACCTGTAGGAAACGAGTCGATTACTGTTTAGTAATATGGTGGGAACAGTGATTTGGCCCTCTTATGAGGAGACAATATGTTTAAATTGACCCCAGTGACAAGAAAACCTAGGTAAAACTGAACCTACAAATGAAAAAGGAGAGTAAATGTCTAAAGAGACTGTGGTGCTGCGTCGGTGGTGGTATTGCAAGATAATTTGGTTTTATCAATTGAGTTTATGATGTAGATTGGCCACTAGCAAGAGATTCCAAAGTTGACATTTCGATCATTAGCTAAAACGAAGGTATTAGCTTTCATTATAAGTCGTTGGAATCTAAGGGAAAACAGGAAGCCAAGTCCACTTCATTCCCATACTGAGTCAATTAATTGCTCCATGAAAAAGAAAAAAAAAAACAACAGAAAAAAATTGAAATAGTCTGAACCTGTACAAATCACTTCCCCACCCACCTTATGCCGAGCCCATCAAATTGCGAGGTATGATGAACATCTGCAATCACAAGAGTGCTTCCAGTGTACGGCAAAATGTACTGAGTTGGGTCGGAAGTTGGTAAATTATTTTCTGTTTCATCTTCCTCGGTGTACTTTGATCTGGTGGAGGTCTCGGTCTATTAGTCAAATAAGCGAAGGATAAGTTTTGAAATCGCCGCACTGAAATGCCAACAAAGTTAAAGAATATTGAAATATTGAGGACGAACCCACGATCACTATACCTGTTCCTTGTAAGCTCCTGAAGCGCTTGATATAGAAGCCCTATCACAACAGTCCGTCGATTGCACGCAGCGTGGAGGGCTTCTGCAGTTAACCCTTAGACGAGGAAAAGTAAACAAAGACCCTGCACGTAAAAAGACATAATTGTGCCACGTTTGTGGCGGAAAGATTTTTAAACATTAGCTAAATACATCCAAACCACATCCATACAAGCCGTTCTCACAATCTCTATTACCATAAATGGGGGGTAAAGGATTTATTTTACTCACGGTCATAATCAGAAAAAGAGTCCTTTTTCTCTCTCTACACAAAATGGAAAAGAGAACTGCATTCCTCGGGTTTTGTGAAACAAAATTTTCACTCATAAATTTGAAGACAACTTTCTTAAATTTAAGTAGACTTTTCCATTCTCGACCTTAGGTCTTTAGCGTATCCCGGAGCAATAGGAGAGGGTGTGAGTAGAAATATCAGGGGTAAAGGGGTCATGGGCAGTCCTTCATTAGCTCCTTAAAATCATTTGGAAGTATGTTAACTTTTTTCCATTATTATCATAAAAAATGATTACTTTTGACTTCAAATTCGGAAGTCTTTTTATCCGTTGCACACAAGTGCTTATGCGCATGCACAACACAATTTTCCGTAAACGCCCGATACGAAAATTAATGGGAGGGTTATGAAATGAATAAATCCCTTCAAGCTGGCTGGATTTTCGGCTGACAATGTCCTTCGTTACGAGATTGTCCTTAAAATTTCACATTTGTCCTCGAAGCCTCCCGGTTAGCTCAATGGTTAGAGATTGTCCTTAAAATTTCACATTTGTCCTCGAAGCCTCCCGGTTAGCTCAATGGATAGAGCACTGGACTGATGTGCGGGAGGTCGAGGGTTCGAGCCCCGGCCGGACCAACACTCAAGGTCTTAAAATAATTGGGAAGAATATGCTGCCTTTTTATAACATCAAGAAATGATTAGATATTCTAGTCTTCTCGGATAGGGACGAATAAATGGAGGTCCCGTCTCCTGCAGGGTTAGGGGTAGGAGACGTTAATTTCCCACGCACGAGATTACTGTGTGATGGATGTCCTCCCCTGGGGTGGGATGGGTGGGTTGTTGTCTTGCGTTTCATACATGAGCCTCTGGCTCGGGCAATATGGGTAACCATGCCCCACGTAAAGACATTAAACTTTGATTACTATTACTATTACTANACGGATCATAAAGGGAACACGAACGTCAAATTCGTACAGCTGCCGCTTGTCTTGTGGAAGAGAAAACTGACCTAAAAATAGCGGATGATGTACGGTCATCAAAAGTGACATCAACTCCTAGACAACAGATCCTTCCAGGATATCATTTACGTACACCCAACTCAACTCTAAGCTATAACATGTTTTAAAGCTGCTTTGTTGATCACGGTTTTATTTAAAGGTTCTTACAATGGACGTTTGTGGCGACTTCAAATTTAGCAGAATGAAAATTAAAGTTTGCGACCACTTGCAATCTTTATTAACTTAATTTTTTCAGTTTTCTGTAGCTGAATTTCATTCAGGTAAACCTGGTTTAACTAACCATGCTTCGCAAGTGTGATTGCGGTAAGATAACAGCGATAGCCGAGCGCGACTCTAGCTTCTTGATTGCTTAGCAAACCAAGTGCATCCATTATTCAATAGTGTACGCTGTGTTGTTTACTATTTGCTTTTATAACATAAAAAACAATTTCTCGCAAACATTTTCTTGCGTACACCCATGGGAAAATAGTAGTCACTGAATTGACCAATCAAAGGGCGCGCTTTACGTGATTTATGTTATTAACACAATTAATTGTCACTTGTAGGTAATTACCCTTTGAATTGTTTTTGTTTTTTTTTTTTTATCACCATACCCACCAAGATGAAATCCATTATCTGAGGAAAATATGATGTAGGTATTCTTCAAGTGTTTCCCTTTGTCCAATGCCTGAACAACTTGATCAACGAGGTCATCCACAGATAACAAGGTACGCCATCTTAAAACAAAATTCTAGAATGGATTAGTTGAAAAAAAAAGCAGCAAATTTCATTTCATTTATTCTGAGCTTTCTTTAACCTTAAGGCCAGCTTCAAATTCACACATCTTAAACCGCCTCCCGATTAGCTCAATGGATAGAGCGCTGAACTGATGTGCGGGGGGTCGAGGGTTCGAGCCCCGGCCGGACCAACACTCAAGGTCTTAAAATAATTGAGAAGAATATGCTACCTTTCTATAACATCGAGAAATGGTTAGATATTCTAGTCTTCTCGGATAGGGACGAATAAACGGAGGTCCTGTCTCCTGCAGGGTTAGGGGTAGGAGACGTGAATTTCCCACGCACGAGATTACTGTGTGATGGATGTCCTCCCCTGGGCTGGGATGGTTGGGTTGTTGTCTTGTGTTTCATACATGAGCCTCTGGCTCGAGTAATATGGGTAACCGTGCCCCACGTAAAGACATTAAACTTTGTTTACTGAAGCCTCGCCTCATTTCACGCGCAATATCTCAGCCGTGGACATTATCAGCCGACATGCAAGCCACCTGAAAGGGTTCATTTACTAAATAACTAAATTCCTCCACCAGGTTAAATATTATGCATAGTCTGCTACGAGACATCAAAACCTTTTACCTTTGGCTTTCTTTACCTTGAGGGCTAAACCCGCAAGAATAACAACGGAAACGGAAGCTCCTACTATCCACAGCCAGTTTCGGTTAAGTTCATAGTCTGAGGCCTGGACTTCCTTTGTTGGAGGGGGGATATCCACTTCTATATGTCCTTTGTTGCTGGTGACCACCAATGTTGCTGTGTCAGTATCAGTTCCTGTAAAACAAAATTACCGAAAATGACCGTCAAAAATACCCTAAAATATCCCAACACAAGGTCGAGATAGCAAACAACGTTAGGCATAACTGTATGCACAATAAGGCACGCAAAGGTTCTTAACAATGGTAATTTTTTCTTATCCCAAGGTATCTGGTTTCCTAACCAAAATTTCTGACCAGCTTTTCACTTCTCCTTCAAACATCTGAAGAAATTCGCGAAGAACTTCTTTGTGAACTTTCATCACCTTCAACTGGAGCCAGGAAGAAAATCGATACCCTCCCCCCCCCATGCCTTAGTGCCTCCCTTAGAAACTCAGGAGACAACGTCATCCAATCACACTCAGGCGGATCCAGGAATTTTTTATTAGGAGGGGGTCCCAATTTTGATTCAGAAAACATCTTTTTTTTCAGTTTAGGTTCCTATAGACTAAATAGGAAAAGGAAACTCTTTTACACGTCATTTTTTAATACTTCCGTGTTGAATAATGAAATGCGATCTTGTCTTTGCAATAATTTTGTTGTAAGACAAGTAGTAAAAATACCTACACATATCTGATAGAGGGGCGATCGGAAATCCCGGTCCCTCCTCCTAGATATGTCAGCGGGAGCTAAGGAGGGGATAATGGTAGTCACAGCAGCTAGATATTTACACGGAGAAAACTGAGGAGGACAAAGTCAGCTTAGCCTTACCCAGCTTCCACCAGGTACTACGATGGTGATAGGATTCTGTGCTATATTCGTCATCCACTCCGTGGTTGTTGATGTACCCGGTCTTGACGCGCTCCGCAGGTGAAACGGGCGATGTTACACCCGTTGTCGTTGCATCTGTTCTGTTCTGAGGAATTTTTCGCGCTGTACGACTAGGAATGTTCCCATCATCTCCTTGTACTCCAAAATGTGTCGGTGTTTTAAGGGAGGAATCAGATTTTTCTGTCGGGCGTGATGGAGGTCGCCGTTTGGAAGGAATATCCGTTCGGAGCGTAGGGCCAATGCTTTCTCCCGCGGGGAGAGTAATTGAATTCTCGACGCTCGGTGAAGACGATGCTGAGCTATGAATAGCAGAACTGACCAAAACTGTACCTTGGTCTACTGCACTAGTGGACTTCGTTGCGGAGAATACACTTGAAGGCGTTGGAACAAGGGAAGGTATCGCGGATACAAAGATGCTAGCGTTGACAAGTTTCTCAACAAACGCAAGTTTAGCCTGAGTCTTGGGGTTCTTTCTGCCATTTTCCCAGGGGTTTATCTCCTCTTTTATAACTACAAAAGTGTCCTTAGGCTTTTCTTTTCTCTTGATATCGATACCAACATCATAACCAGCTAAATGAGAAAAGGAAAAAGCATTAAAAGAGCGTGTAGCCGATACCCCATGCCTCGACTCGCTTTACTCAAACTCCACAATGTCAAACATTCAAATACCTAAGAAGTATCCTCGCGCTTTGCAACAAAAAAGTAATACTTTAGCATTCCAACATTTTACGTGTGTCTGAAGAATCGTGCAACAAAGATTTTATTTGCCGATTCTTTGTTACTTGATATAGTCGAACCTCCTCTGGTGGACACCTCCCGGAGGAAGGCATAACAGGACAGCCCTACTAGACAACGATCAGTTCGAAGTTTCAGCATCCCCCCGGACAACCCACAGCATTCCCCACCCCCTCTGTCGTCCGCGCCAGAGGGGGTGGGGAATTTGAATCTTGCCTGGCTGGGGTAGGGAATTGAACCTGAATTGTCGAGTCTCAGACTCGACATGTGGGGGTGTTTAAAAGTAAAGAAATCACTTTCGCGAGCGAACAAGGTCTAGTTTTTTTAAAGCTTGGTCAATGCGTAGATAGTCACAGCCGCTGATCTTGGTAGAGCATTTGTACACAATTAGGCCCGGATTTGGCAGGAGGGGGGGAGGAAGCTGACGCTTTCGTTACATCCCACAAACGACAACACCTTTCAAAGTAAAGCCAACACTTTTTCCAGGAGCCCGTTTCTCGAAAGTCTCGGTAACTTAACGGACCCGAAGCCATGTTATAAAAATCAAAATTTAAAGGATGGGAGAGCAGGGTCTGGCTCTCAAACCAGTCCCAGTCCTTTTTGTTTCTTTAGCTGGTAGTTTTGTTGTATCATTTTCAAAACTTTTGAAATCCCCGTCTTGAATGAAACAGAACAGCTTTACGGTCACCGCTTAGTATATAACACTTGGTAGCAAAAAAGAACCGAAAAGTCATTCTGATTTTGAAAAGAACTTTAACTGTTACCTTTAAATCCACAATCAGTTTTAAGGTAATCGCTAAGCCAGCCCTCGGAAACAGGGCACTTCACGCAATCAGTGTCTCTTCTCTTTTCACAAGGCCTGAACACGCCGAAGCCTACAGGACATTTTCTGCATTTCACACAAACGGTATTCGACGTTGAATTACAAGGATGTGACTCGAATTCGTTGTAAGCACATCTGGCGCAGCGCTTGCACGTTCCTCGGCGAGAAGGCTTATCAGTGTATGTTCCATCCGGGCACTTTTCACACCGTGACTCTTCATTTTGTGAGCAGAGTGTGAAAGATCCTGCTGGGCATTTCTTGCAGGATAGGCTGGACAACTGGTAATAGCCACCGCTCAACGACTGTAAGAAGAGAGAAGGGGAACAATAACAAAGAAAACAGTTTTGTCGGGTTAAACTTTTTTCCTCGAAAAAAATTAAGGAAACAAAAAAGGCTCATTAAGGGGCCTCAATGTTTACGCCTGCTTAGCTGGCTTCTAAGATTAAGAAAGAAAATATCAGTTTTGAATTCTGTTGGTAATTCTGATTATTTAATCGATTCTTATCCATTAGAAAGTAATTTAAATGTATAACAATATTTAAGCTTCCCACAATAGCACTCAGGAAGTACGATACCACTCTTTAAACTAAGTAATAATAGCTTTGCCGCGAGATAAATAAAATCAGTTTAATTTTGAAGCAATATTATTGTTAGTTAAAGTAATTGCAGATAACATATTTGTACAAGAGCTCTTGAGTAACGAGTGTCTAGTCAAAACAGTCGGTAACAATAATGTGATATTTGCCCTTCCGCTTGCTTCTGGTGTCAAAGATTTCGCTTTTGTTTTCTAGCTTAGATAAATTGTTTGGTTAATTACTGTTTTCTATCGTGCGATTACCACAGTATTCCTGCTTTCAACTTCATAGAATATACGTTTGGTTAAAAGATGGTGAAGATCTTTCGTGGAAATCGTCTCTAGCTCGTGATGCTTATTACTGAGAAAGACAGGAAGTTGTCGAACAATGACCCTTTGTCTCCACTTTCGGTTTCTATTTTGTAAGGGTCTACTCATCTCTCAGAATAATAAAAAAAATTTCTTGTAGACAAACGCAAAAATCCAAAACGCTCTTAAAAATGTCTCAATTAGGGTAGCAACTTTTTAAGTATTGGCCACATCAAAAACAATCGGTTATATTTTGTGTAAAACGATTTGCCAGCGACATTACTGAGTATGAACGTATCGCGTGACCTGTGGCGTACCGCGATAGTTTTGGAAATGGCGTGTCTCCTCTGAAAAAGAACAATTCTTGTCGATTTAGTTAACCGCTGTGGTCATTTTCACACGTGCCAAACTGGCAAAATTCAGATCCCATTGACATGACAGCGAAGATTCCGTTTTAACTTTAAGCTTGTCGGAACTAATCGATTGGAACGGAATGATTTACTACTACAAAACATGTAATTTTTGTGATTTTCAGTTGATACTCAGTAAAAAAAAATAGGTTTGTTTGTGGTCGAATCAGTTTAATTCCTAATCCAAACGAAATAATTGGAGCTTGTGGATAATTAAGTTTATAATAACAGGTCATATATCCAGAACAGTTATGGCGTTTCTGTTCTAGAAAGCGCCCGCTATAAATATAAATTATACATCTCTTACTGGTGTCACAAACAGTCCTAATATACACATCAAACAACATTTACAATGTAGAGATGTCAGGAATTACTTACACTGCTTCTGTTGACTCCTATAATCGTCAAAGCGAAAAAAAGAACCTCATACACCATCGTAGAGTTTGCAAGACAAGTGGTGTGTTTTTGTGAATCAGGAAACTTGATCCACAGATTAATGGGAGATTCGTCGCTTTCACCAGCTTGTGATTCGATTATTTGAAGAGAGATACATAAGCGAATACGGAAAACTTGTTGTGCAACCCCAACACGCTTTTGAAATTTACTAAACTCTCTTCACATTTAATCCTTTAGTATTCGGGTTTTTCCCTTTACGTGACGTTTTAATTTTCGTCTTCTTTTCACCGTAGCGATTGGCTGTAATCTGCCGAAGGGGGGGGTGGGGCGGTGGTAAATGGGAGAGGAGGAGAGCTTGATCTATTATAATGGAGGATGAACCATAAATGATCGACGATGAGATGAGGATGAAGACATTTCTAACAGATGATTTCGGAGAAGGAAAGACAGTTAACCGTTCTATTTCAAGGGGGGAGGGGGAGAGGATAGGAGTTTGCCTGTTGAACTACTCAGGGGACTTAGTTTTATGAAGTGTGCTCGTTAGGAGTTATCGACATGATTTAGCTGGATAGTGATTGCACTTTCCGGCCTGCAGAAGTCTTTCCCTACTGACGCACCTTGTGATGTATGGAACGCCTCAGTAATCAGTGGCGGATCTAGGGAGGGGCTCGGGGGGCCCGAGGGGCTCGGACTTCCCTTATTTGGGGTAAAAAAAGTCGCAGAAGGAAGAAAAGCCGATAGGTGCACACACACACACACACACACACACACACACACACACACACACACACGTCAAGGTCTGGATCCGCCACTGGTAATACAAGTCCTTTTTACAGTCGTCACTCGTTGAGCAAAGACAAGCACTCACTCTATCAACCGAAAAGAGTGAGAGTGAATACGTGACAAAACCGAATGTGATAACGGCTATAAAGGAAACCACAGAGAGCACTGAAATAATAAACTGATGAGAGTTTTTGGGTTTTAAATATCCTCATAGACGCATGTTGAAAGCAGCGTGTTCCCAATGGGGTAGCAGCGAAGGATAGTTCAAAATATCTAAAAGATATAATCAGAAAGCGAAAGTGATATATATTGGCATACGTGCAGGTGTATTTTAAAACGTGTACCAATATAACATTCCTCATGTGACTTCATCTATTTTTTTTGCCCTTAGTTTTTCTAGGTTGAGAGAGGCGTCTGAAGTCTATTTTAAGCTTATGGCAATGATTTAAGTATCGAGCATCCACTAGACGACTAAAATACCGGAAATAATATCTGACTCCGTCACTTTTTACTCGTGACTGAGATTGTTTCTAAGACTTTTTGTCTGTTTGCTCGGCTTCAATAAGGGCTTGTTGGAAAAATTCCTATTTGAACTGTGTCAGACCTTTGGCTATGATCGCCCGGGAGGAAGGGGACGTTGCAGAATAATTTAACTGTGTTCCCTAATACCCATATTAGTTGCCCCCACCCCTTCCCACGCCATCCCGCTCCTGTCGCCAGGTGACATCGCTTTGTGTAGGAAAAATGGCCGGCAGCCAAGGGAAGCTCCCTTCAGCGCGCCACTTAGATACTTCTCATAAATTTCCGAGTCCATTATTTTTCGTTATTCCTAAAAACATGGGCTAACGTCAGAAAATGTTACTGCACACAAACCAAGTAATAAAATTCTAACAGAGATCAGTTTTCTCTTGCATTTCATCCGTGACGTCGAATGACAATTCGAGTGACAGCTTTTTCTATCTTTTGTCCTGTGTATTTCCATATATGGCTGGTCCAAACATTGCAGACACCATCAAAGTTATTTTGGGACTACCTTGAGCAACTTTCGTTTCTGGAAGACGTTGAACGTGCACGTCCTTGACTGCCATCAAGCATTGTTCTGTCAAGATGGATTTCATGCGTTTGCTTACACTTGTTTTAAGTGTTCTACTTGTTGGTAAGGTTTTATCTTTCTTCTACGTAGGTTTAAATGAGAAAACTCAAACATTGGAAATTTATGTGCCTCATTATTACTCTTGTGGTGGAAGGGTTTGTTGCAGCTCTGTTCAACAATCAAAGTTTTTCTCCGAGGTTGCAATTAATTTACTTCTGAAAATATCTATGCGGAACTAAAACGCTATAAATGATTACTTGTAAATGCAGCTGATTTTTCGCCTCTTATCATAGGTTTAATGCGTTTGCTGAAATTATAATTATACGAGTTTCATTTAAAATTGATTTTGAAACATGTCTGATTCTTGTTTTTATTAATTGCTTTGTTCTTCGTGAATTACGAAAGTTTTAAAACAAAGGAAAGTACAAATCAAACTATTTCAAATTCGTTTTAACCTAAAAACCTTTTTAAACAATTACATTACGATATTGCGAACTAATCTATATTTTATGTATTTATTGCAGTGCTTCTGAGTCCCACAGCAGTTGGAGGTGAGTCAATATTACGTTTTCATTATATATATATGTTGTGGTTCAATTTTATCCTTGGTTTAAATTTTATTTTCCATTGTTTCAACCCTATTATCATAAATTACCATAACCAAAAATAATGGAAAATAAAATTTAAACCAAGGATAAAATTGAACCACAACATATACACCTATGAAATACCAAGTGATCTTTCGCGTGAAAACATGATATCTTCACACGCTAAGATAACATGTTCTATTGACATGTGAAAAGTTTACTGTTTAAATGATAAAGGGAAATGATTTGGTGTTTCATGGGTGTAATATCATTAACACGTTGCCCAATAAATTTGTTTTACTGATGTTAGATGATGATATGTCCATATGAGTCAGGTGGATTCCATGTTTCCTGTTTCAGCTCAGAAATCTGAGAAATAGGAATCATTATGGTAATTTATCAGCATACATTCCTCAAGGTGGCTCTCTTTGTCCACTGTTTCCAAGTCAAATTGAAATTTAGAGTATTGGTGTACAGAAGACATGCTGTGGGTTGACTTTTAAGATCTAATTCCTAACTAGAAAGAGTAAAAATGTAGACAATATTTCTGATTCAGTTCTTGACATGTTCTATATTCTTATAGATAACACCAACTGCTGTACTCAATTGAACATCCCATCAGAATGTCATTTTCTGTGTGGAGTTGGTAGTCAATCGTTCTGGTCAACAACAAGATGGAAATGTACCCATAAATACTATGCCAAGGTGGCAACATGCAAAGTTCAGAATAAAATCAGTAAGTACAAATTTATCTGATCATTGGCAAAGATGGGTTATGCAAAAGAGTCCTGGAAAGGAACTTAGTAATGGACATTTTGACAACCTGACAGGAAGTAAGGGACAAAACATCAGGATCACTCTCACTTGAACATGCAATCATAGCACACTATTTCCTCTTATAACATAAACACATAAAGCATGTGCTCTGATTGGTCAATTCAGTGTCTACTGTTTGCCCATGGGTATATGCTGCTGACATGAGCAAATATGTTTTTAAGTAAACAAATGTTTCACAAGAAATTGTCTTTAATGTTTTAAAACAAATGGAAAAAATCATAGTGTACACTATTGAGTTCTGGATACTCAAGACCTAGAGTTGCTCTTGGCTGTGGCTTCGAGCAATTCTTACACTTCTTTTATACTTAGCAACCTCCCAATTGCAGCCATAACTCAATAGTGTGCACTGTGGTGGTTACCATTTGTTAATTATCCCTGGGCTCAAACAATTCATTGTGCATTTAGAATCACCAATTTATTCCTTTTGCATCTTCTTTGTAATCAGATTATGTGAAACTGTTTGGCCAAGAACTGACTCAATCGTAAGTTTCATTTTACAGTTATACGTGACAGTACACAAAATAGTGTCTATAGCCTGGCTGATTTCTGTTGGGTTTTGTAGTTCGTAGAGAAATTTTTTATTGATAAAATCTTTTTTCTTTAAATCATTTTTATCTTAAAAACCAGAATAAAGGAAAGCTTCGATAAGCTTTCAGCAGACCTGCAGGCAAAATTATCAGATGCAAAGGAGTTTGCAAAAGCCTCTATTAGTGAGCTACTGAGTGTTCCACAGGACCTGCTGTCCTCCTTAAAGGTGCATTTATATTTCATGCTTTTTATCTCATTGTAAACCTGAATGCAGGCACTTGTACACTTGAACATGCTCATCAGTTGAGTTATTTTGATCATTACCCAAGAAACTTTGATAGTTACTGGTGATGGGGAGGTAGAATTTAAAAAAAGCCAGCTGCAATCAGTTTCATGGCTTATTGTTAGTGCCTGTCCTCACACAGATGGTTGAAAAACAGTGTCTGACATCCCTTGCTTGGGAATGGGAATAATGAGGATTAAATAACAAGTCAGAGTGGTAAATTTTACCTGTGCTCTGAATTTCATTTGACAATGAAAATACAGTTTTGATCAGATAAAATTGAACCAGGTTGAACTCTACTCAATGATGACTCTTGATGTCAACTCTCAATGTCCATTTGGCATAGTTAGGGACAGTCACATTACCCTTTAGGGGCTGTTAATAATTTACCACTCTCAACCCTGGACCACTCTCAAGGCAAGGTGAAGTCCGCACTCAAGCCAAGGGCGGCATCCAGCTGGAGTATTTCTCATTTTCCACAGCGTAGGGGCTATAGTTATTTTCCCACCTGGGATGGGATGTTAGTTCATTGCAGAGTAGAGTAAGGGGGGAGGGGAGGGGGCCCATTAGACACTCAGCACAGCACCTCAGTGGATGCTATCCTGATGGTCTCCATGGTTACCTGCTGAGTCAGTTCTTCACTCATCTCATGTTCACTTATTTGTCGCTCATCCGTTGTCAATTGGTATAATTTAATTTTTGCCTTATTCTTGCAGGGCATGGTGTGATTTTAAAGCTGGTCAGAAATTATTTGCATGCCTCAGTAGTACAGTAGATGTCATTCTGAATGGTGATCAGTTCCCTAATGTTTTCTAAGATCAGATCCTGTTGTTGATTGCAGGAAAGTCTGAGTGGTATGACAAGTAACCAGTTTAATGGAATTATTGATCGTCTCACAAAGTTCACATCACAAAATCTAAAGAAGCTCATCTCGCACATGAACCTGGATACTTTTTTTGCCAATGTGGATAAAGTTGCTGTAAGTTTTACAAGAGAAAAAACTTTATTTTGCTGTATTCCCCTAAATGACATGGTTAAGAAAACATATACAGGTGCTGAGTTTTTTCAATGGTGTTGAAGTAGAAAAAATTTTATTCCCCTCTTACTGTGGGATTTTCATACAAACATTTAAGTCTCCTTCTTGTTCCTATGGATTTTCCATTGACCTTAAGTTATTCTTTAAGAATTTTTTATACCTTTCTGCAAATCTCCCCCCCCCAACCCATCCTCAGAATTTTGGATCCCTCTCAACACTGCTAGTATGGACAGTGTATATTTACATGCATTGGGTAGAGTGGTACTTCTGTTAGCTAAGATCAAGATTAGGATATAGGGCAAAGAAAGAAAGTACCCATACATTACCGGGAGGCTTTTGACATTTCATGTAAGTTGCTCTTAGTCAATCAAGATAACAACCTTTACCTGATAAATTCCCAGATGATGTATGATTATCAAAGGGAGAAGTTACATGTTGATCACTTCTGGGAGTTTAAGGGTTAAATCATTTGATATCCCCTGGCAGGAAATTCTCATAACTTTTTTGATTGGAAATGTTTGGATTTTGTACAGAGAAATTCATTTTTTCTCACTCCAAGAGCAAAATGGTTAAAAGCTGTTGATATTCATGACAACTTTAGGGTTGATTTAACTCATCATCTCAAATTTTCAGTTTGCATGCCTTGCATGTAGGTTTGGATGCTGCCTTTCGACAATATCCAGTTTACTCCATGAGCTTTGGATGTAACATGTACAGTTTTGTTTTTAATTTTAAAAGGGTAAAGAATGGGATCGAGAGCAAATGGCTGCTCTGAGCCAAGCTGCATATCGTAAATTTGGTGTCAGTGTCCGTCAGTGGAGTGTCAAGGCATTAGAAACTATGAAGCAATTGTTGGCTGGATTTGAACCAAGTGAACTGGCAGAGCTAGCTGGAGATGTTTTTGATCAAGGGTAAATATTACCGCCGAATTTCAAATAAATTATAATTGTGTATGGGATATGTGACAAAATGTTTGGCATTTAAAGTAATTACTGTAAATCTACATTTATATGACTGATTTCCTACTCTGAACTTGGAAATGGACATTCATTACTTGGGTTTACTCATTAAAAGACACGACCAGACACAAACTTATGCTATACTTGGCATTGCAAAGTCAAATGACCTCATAATCCAATAGAGACAAGCAGCATAGCAATGAAAACTTCACAATCTGTGGCTGGTAATTACTCTGGGCTGGGTCATTTATTTGTAAGGTGTTAATTAATGTTAGTCCAGGATTCCAGTTAGTTAACCTTGGCTTTAATTTCTCATGTAGAAGAGTGTGTATGCGAGCTGAAGTCATATTGGGTTTTATCTCAATATGACCTAAAACTAATGAGAAAAAAAGAAAAAAGAAATTTTTCTTTGCAGAGTTGTAAAACTAAATTAAAACTTTACACTCACCCCAGGTTAGGTTAACCCTGTTTGGAACAACTGGCCCTGTACTTTACATGTATCTATTTATACCCTACTGTGGAAAACATTTTTAAAAAAGAAAAAACATCTTGAGGGTATTTTCAAAAGAGAGGTGGAAATTTGTTTAAAAAAAACTATTGTACATTTTATTTGTTCTCCCACATAGGTTTGATCAGAGTTTGTTTGTTTCTTGATGAAAACTAGGATTTCCCTGTAGCTGTTAATGCTGATGAAGATCATTAATTTTGCCTTTCTATTAGAGTAAGCTACCTTTGCATGGCAAAGTTTGACAATGACCAAAAGACTGCTCTTATGATTCCTGCAAAGAAAGTCTTTGGCAAGGTGGCCAACTGGGACAGCAAAGTGCTTGCAAAAATGTGTAATTTGTTGGAGGCCCTTCCTGTCAGGGAAATGCTACAACTGGCATCTGATGTGGTAAATGCCTTAATGTAGTGTCCTATCTTTAAAGAAAGTTTTTATTGGGGGAATTATTCAGCATGGAATGCATGAATGTAATGTAATGTTTGCATCTTTTAGCAAAATGATTTTTCTCCACCTTCAAACACACCAGTTATAAATTTATTTTAGTTAAAATGAAGTCAACTTGATGCATGAGTCCACCTTAGACACTGGGTTGAAAATTTCTCCAATGAGAATTTCCACTCCTGTTATCCAACTAATTTCTCATGTTCCTTTATTTGTATTTACACTGAACCAAATAGATAACAAAAGCCATTGATGAATTGGTAAAACATGACTTCACCTTCCCCCAAGCCAAAGTTATCATCAATAAGCTCAAAGAAGAATGGAAAGATGTGAAGACATGGAGTACAGCTCAGTTGCAGAAACTCGGAAAGCTGCTAGGAAACTTGAACATCCAGGATCTGAAGTCTTTGTCAAAGGAACAGTTCCAGGTACAGTGGCTGACTGTTAATGATCTAGATAAGTTCATGGTAGTTAAATTGTGTTAAGTGGGATATGAGAACCAATTCCAAAGGTCCTTTCGCCATTAACACCCAGATCAGTATAACTGTTTTCTGTATGTTTCCTTAAAGGCGCTGACAAAGAAAATTTGTTGGAAAATGCAGAGCTTTTGTTTGTGATCATTTCCATTATTCTTGTCACCTTATTGTGTGAATAAGGGGTGGCGTTGTAAGGAGAAATTACCGGTAGATCAGTTTCACATGGGCACTTGCAAAGCAAATCTCATCAACCTAGACGTTTTCCAAGATTTGAATAATTGTAGAAATCAGCAGCGTCTCTTCACTTTTTGTAGTAGTTAAATTTTTTCAGTAAAAAGAAATTGTCAGAATCACTCACAGGTTGTTTTGAAACTGGTACCCTTCTTTGTTGTCAGTTGGGGTGCAAATGACATCTCACATGCTACCCTCAAAAATTGTGTTTATTATGAAAATATTTTCCAGATATGGCTTGTTTTTTCCTTTCATACCCTGTTTACTAGGTCTTATGTTTTCAATATTGCATTATTTTTGAAAAACAATTATCTCAGTCTGCAAAGAAAGGTAAAGCAGAGGAAATATTTTACAATTTTTTTTGCAAAATCCACCAGAAGTGATACCTTTAATGGTACTGTATTTTGAAAGTATATACCAAATAGGTGACTTGTGCTTTTCATGTGCACTGATTGGCTTATTTGTAAGTGAAGATCAGCAAGTACTATCCACTCCTGAGTAGCCATATTTTGATAAACTAATTTTTTGGCCGTATCTATGCGGTACTTGTTTATATTTAAACATTTATTCATCTTAGTGTTAGTAAAAGTGATGAATATTAACCTTGCTGCTTTACGGTTTGGTCAATATCCACTGCTATTCACCCTCACTTTGTGTAACTTTGATCCTATACAAGTCTTAAGCTAGACCCTTTAACCCCCTAATGACCGGCTAGTGTTTAATTTCTTCATACTGTATCACTACTGAAATCAAACATAAGGGTCATTAGAATAGGGGAAGTTATTGCCATTTAAGAAAGCTCTTGATTGTAAATCAAATTCTCCTAGTTAGGGCCATGGAGATGTCTTAGAGAACAGTATAAAGAATTTGCAGTCTGATGTTAGGGTGTAAAAGCTTAAACTCACATTATAGATAGTGATGATTGGCTACAGCTGGAGTATTTGGTAATTCAGATAGGTTGAGTGGAGTGAAACTGTGTTACTTTGGAAATTGATTCGTGCAATGATATTATTACTATGTGTGAGCACAACAGAGCTGAAGCAGGATTGTCAGAAGTTACAATGGTGCAAATGTTTTGCATGAATATACAACCACAATCCTGTGACAATATTAAATGTCAGACGGTGTGACAGTGTGTGATACACTTAATATGCAGTTATATGTTTTGTAGGCCATAAAGGATCTGCTTGGTAATCTAAACTTGAATGAGGGACAACTCCGTGTATTGGCAGTGAAAGCAGTAGATCTCCTAGGCTCCCCAGACAAGTGGAACAAAGACAACATCAAGGAACTTGGAAGTGTTGTGGCAGGACTTCTGCCATCTGAGCTCAGACAGATGGGAGCACAAGTTGTGAAGGACTCTCTGCAATTTTTAAAGGGGATAGACTTTGATCTTGATCAGGTATATGTGAAAATTAAAAGAAAATCTCCCTTCTTTATATTACTGTCAATACTGCTAATGGTGCATTCAAGCAAGGTCCTTGTAGAATTTTCAGTGCAAACATGCATACTCATGTACATGTAGGTGTGGTAGAATGGCCCACAGTAGCAAGGACTCAACTTGGGAGGGGTAGGATGCTTGTATCATCATCATCATCCTNATAGAGTTAGTCCACCAGGATCAAAAGTTAGACTTATAACTAAGACTTTTGCTCTTTGGTAAGGGATGTTGTATTTATTTCCATGAACCATGTAATTTATCACGTGTTCTAAGCATTCACTAAATGACAAATAAAAGTAAATTACATTTTTTTTTTTCAGGCACAAGAGATTGTTGAAAGACTAAAAAGTTCTATTGATGTAAGTTAACTTCTCATTTGAGTCCTTTTTGTAACTGCGTCCTATACCCTCGGTGCATGTGAAAACAGTCATTTTGAAAACATTGTGTATTTTCTGTATTGCTTGTGACAACATAATGTTGTACTTTACCTGTAACCAGTAATCAATACAATTTTATAGTGGTTGGGAATGAAAAGTTGATTCCTTGTAAACTTAATTTGTTTCAGCTGTCCAAATTGAACAAAGGTGATGTAGTGAATCTTGCCAAGGCTATTGATGGTTTTTTATCATCAGATGTTGGCAAAATGACTCAAGCAGTTGTCTTTGCTGCTTTCCCGGAGATGAAGGTTGCAAAAGAGGTTGCCATGCCAGTTCTGAGAGGGTTCATTAAAAAGGTAAGTTGCGTAATGATCCATAAAATGACAAAAATGGTAAGTTTTGAGCTTTGTCATTAAATAAAGAAAGATGAAATTTGTTGTGTTGCCATTTATCTTTACTTTATTTCCTAAAACCACTCTGATACTACTTGTATAAGTTGTAGCAGTTTGTAGCTTGTCTAGGATATAAACCAGGTCTCTAGCTGGGCATGAAATTCAAAGACTGTGTGTTTGATTCATTTTGGAGCACTCAGGGTTTTTTCATGCCATGCCTGTGACCAAGCAAAAAAAAAACATATTTTAATACTGATCCAATGTAACCTTTTGACTCACAAGATTTGAGCTGCAATAAATTACTCCCTACAGCAGGTAATAATCCACTTTTCTTTTACTCGTTTGTACCTGTGTCTTTGTGACCTGTTTACTGGACAATTTTCTTGATGTCATAAACAGAAGTTACACATAAATTACCCCCAAGAATTTCAGCATTTTATAAGCATTTGTTTTATAAAACTTTAGTTTGAAGAAGATCCGTCAGCTGGAAAGAGTATCGCGCAGCTTGGAGACTTTGCTGTTGCTCTGAGTCGAGGAGAAGTTGATGCAGAGGGTGTTGATAACGTCATCAATAATCTGGATAAACTGGGAGTTCTTCCCTGGGACAAGACAAAGGTATTTTCTACAGACTTTAAACAATGTTAAAAGCTTTTTGCAGAATATCCCACGGAGGTATCACCTCTCTCCTCCCAGCATCCATAATAACCTCAGAGTACGAGAGAATAATTGTTTGTTGTCTGTCTCATTTCTCTCACATGCTTCTGCCAGATCCATTTATCAAGTTGTTCTAAACCACCCTAATCAAACCATGGATCAGAAGGAAGATAATTGCTGGCCCTTACACGTTAACGCTTGATTTACTCCACTTTGGCTCTTTAAGTTTTAAATGCAGTAAGCTTGCACTCGAGCCAAGTGGCTCAAACTGTCGAACAGAAATGTTGCCATTTCCTCCGTGATGACACGACTAGGAATAATTTTATTCCTTCTAAAAGGCGCCACCACAAGCGTTTTGTAAACAGATTTCCCTGATATTGAGCTTGTGTCCGTTAACCCTTTACTCCCTGACATCAGTATGCATATTCTCCATACTGCTCTCTATACATTTCCTAAGGTGCTGACAAGGAGAATTTGATTAACGATCAAAAGCTTCTTTAGTTGGTCATTATTCCCTTAATTCTCGTGACCTTAATGAGTGATTCAGGGATAGTATTGTAAGGAGAAGTTAGATGTTAGTCACTCTCACTTCCTCCCGGGTAGAGAGGTGTGGAATGACACTGGGTAGGGCTCCCTTCAAAACCTCTCGATCTAGAGTTTGATGGACTAGTCAGGTCCAAGAGAAGTCTTAAAACTCTTCGTCTTCTTTGAATTCTTCTTCTCCAATTTCGTCCGTTCATTCGGTTTCTTAGACACTGACTCTTATCAAGAAAATCAGAACAAAATGGGGAGACTTCAATGGCACTGATGCGGACGATTCTGATTCACCAAACTGGGGATTTTTGAACATGAAGAGGCTTGGTCACATTGCACTTGGTATTGCTAAGGAAGAGTTGCGTGATCTGCCCATCCGGGGAATTGAAGACGTAATTGACGTGTTAGGAAAAGAGAAGGACTGGGATCGAGGTCAGGTAAGAGGTAACCGTTAAATGGATCTCAGTATTCTGTTGTTTGATTCTGAGGTAAGGGAAAATGTGTTACTGTTTATTATGCTGTATAAATCTACGAGTGACAGTTGTAAATTCAAAAGAAAGCTGACATTTAAATATACTGTGCAAGGTAGGTGAAACCGTATGTCACCATTCAAATGAAAGCTTCTTAGCTTGGTTTCATGTTGTTTTGTGAATTTTGCAGAGCAATTAGTTTTAAATATGTGGCTGAAACCTTAATGTATTTCTGGGCAGCACTTTCATTTGTTTTGTTCATAATGCTTTGCGTTATGGTTCTTCTAACTTAAAGCAGTGTGTGTGTCTATTCAAATGAAAGCTTTATTTTTGCGGCATGGTTCATCATTCCCTGAAAGTTGACTCTAAAGTTTATGAGTGGATACCTTAATTTGATTGTGCAACCTTTTTTTTCCCTTGGCCTCACTTCTCGGAGTTTTCACCAAGAAGGAAAGCTACGTAACGAGGTTATCTTTTAAATACATGAAGTTGTGTTTACTTTAAAACATCATAAACTACAAATTGCCAAACTTAGAAAGAACAGATAAGGTAGATTTTTTTGCTAAATTTCTTTTCTTTTTTTTCTTTTCTTTTCTAATTGTTTCTTTTTGCAAGATTGTCATGGTGTTGAAACGTCTGCATGAATACTGGGAAATGGAAGACCTTGACTTCTCGAATTTCACTGATGTTGACATCAACTCACTTGGTAGCTTTTTACGAGGCCTTGCACAAGAAGAGCTAAAGAGATTACCTGAGAAAATCTTACTTACAGCCATTCGCCGGCTGGGAGAACAAACTGGATTGCCAGAAGACAAGCTCAAAGCAAGGGCATTCTTGGCTGTGGAGCTTTTCAAGGTAAATATTAAAAAGTGAGATATATGTTTGTAGCTAACGCCCCGTTCGAACCAAACCATATTATCCTCGCTGTTGCGCTGCGCAAAATTACTGACCTTACAGTCATGCAATTTGAGGTAATCTTCAGCGCCTTTGTCTCACAAAAATGTAGGCGTTTTTGTAGCTGAAACGAGTGAAAAAGAAGGTGCGCGAGAAACGGCGCGTTGCGCAGCTGTTTCCTTGACAACGAAAACCGCCACTTGTCGCGCTCTCCCTCTCTTTCGCTTGCTACTAATGCCTGAAGGCCTGAAACAAAATTTACGCAGTTGCTCTAAACTGAGTTATTCAAAGTGTTCTTTTGTGACTGCATTTTTTGCTTTCGTCCTTTTAGAATCAGACAGGAGTGGATATACTGAATTCTTCACATATTGAAGACCTTGGATTACTCGTGGCTGGACTGGACAGAAAAACACTTCGAAAAATAACGAAAGATTCGTTCATTGACAACCTCTATAACATTGCAAGAGCCAAGGGATATGATGGGAAGAAGCTGAAAGAAATAGCCAAACTAGCAAAACAACACTTCGAAAAGAGGTGCGGTTATTTTAAAAGTAGTTACTTAAGTAAGCAGGTCGAATTTTTCCCTTTTCGACCTCAAAGGTATTTCGTATCAATTGGTAGAAGATTTTCTCGAGGTGAACAGAGTGATATCCTGATTGATGGACATCTCAAGGCACGTGATATGAGTGCGAATATCCAGAATAAGTTGCTTCTAGTCCAACCCCGAGAAACGCGGCCTTAGTGCCAGATATCGAGAGTAAAATTGGATTGATTCACACGTCAACTGCAAGGCAATTTCAATGTGTAGAAAGAAATCCTGATATAGTAACTGATATTCAGCTGTGGGCAACTAGAAGCTTATTAAATGTTCTTATTAACTGAGTTCGAGGTCTGTACTGTAAGTTACGGACCGAGAAAACGAGGTTAGTAAGATATTTAGAAAAAACTTTTGAATTTAGCGGCCCGTAAAGTGAAATACAGCCCGTTGAATTGACCAATTATAGCACATGGCCTAACTGAGAGATATCATAATGGTAAATATTGTTGCGTTTGCTTTGTGACAGTGATGTCGCCGAGTGGATTGGTGATCAATGGCGCGATCTTGGCCCAGCTGCGGTGGGCCTGGATCCCAGTGACCTTGAGCGTATTAACCTGGATTCTTTGGAGGAGATGCTGGATGAATTGGGCAAGTTGGAGTTCAGTAAGTCCCAGGCTGAAGCTCTCATCAAGGCAGCGAAAGAGGCATGGGACGAGAACGGTATGGCATGGACAATTACTTTGTTGGATCGCATTTCAAGTGTCTTCAGACTAAAACTAAAGTAACCGCAACGACCCATCAGAACGACATAGAGCAACTCCAGGGGCGAATGAGATAGCGTTAAAACAAGCACACTGCTTCAAACGCGGGAAAATCGCGATAGACTGACTCACTATTGGTTTTCATGTTGCATCTGATTGGTTGAGAGAATGGTGCGAAATTTCTAGACCAATCACAGATCGAAGCAAAGCGAAAACCAAATAATTCTGTATTACTTTCAGCACACAGTTGGAAATTTGTTCTTATTAAAATGATAAGGGTGTTAGTATGGTAATTACCAGTTTTGTCAACATTGTTTGATTACCCTCGAAGTTTGCGTAGGTACAAGCAGAGACGCCTAGTGATCTCAAGGGGGCTTGGCAGTTAAGGCAATTGATCTTGTAAACCGCTCCTCTTCTGTTGCTGTGGTCATCCTTACCTTAAAGTGTCAGTAAATGTTGTGGCATAGAGAACGGTTTATAAGCTATGTGGCCCCCACCTTTATTACGGAACATTATTTCTCCCCAAGTTTCAGGAATGTTATGATTCATTGCTATATTATGTATACCGTTTATGCAGATGTTGGAAAGTGGACTGGGGACAAACTGCGTCGACTTGGCTCTCTTGTGAAGGGCCTAGACACCTCTGACATCAAGAAGCTTGGTAAAGAAGCCTTTGAAGAGGCTGTGGGGATCTGGGGAAATTACCTCGATGTTGACATGGAAACGCTGAAGGCGTTAGCTGAAAAGGCAAAAGAAGTAAGGCTCAGTTGATTAGTTTTCAAATGTTAAGTGAGAACAATTTGTTGATAACCAAGCATCTGGTCAAGGCGCTTTGATGTTTGCTTAATTCTTTTTTCTTTTGCGTTAAACATTTTTCTATGTTTGTAGGTTCTAACCAATGGAGACATTTCCAAGCTAACTGCTCAGCTCGCTAAGAGGTTGGGCCGAGTCGTGCTTGGTCTAACTCCGCAAGATCTTGAGAAACTCAATTTGGACAACATTGATATTATTGCTGCCCTTGGAAAGTGGAAGGACTGGAGTGAAGATCAGGTTTATAGTCTTTTGTTTATGACTTTTAATTCCCTTTAAGTAAAAAAAATTGGGGTCATTTTTACCTCACAGTATGACTTAAGTCATACATGATGGTGTTGATGGTACATGATGGTGGTTTTGTTGGAAATGGTTAATGCTTGTTCCTCTCCATCCACCATTGCCCAAATTCTCCTTCAAGCTAAAAATCGTGAGGTTTATGCGTTGCCTTTTTTTCCTTACAGTTGGACCGTCTCAAACCCAAAGTTCGGGAATTCTTGAAGCAGAGCAAGGACGACGAAGTCTACATGAGCCTGGGACAGTTAGCTCTTAGTCTGACTAAAGAAGACATCTTGAAAATGCCAGCGAATGCTTTTAGGTGATAACCGTGTTGATTAAACATTGCTTGTAGTCATCTTAACTTTTTTAGCTTCAGCTTTTTTACTTTGCTTTCATTGGAGTATGTATCTATCCTGGCCGGACTTTTTTCTATGTCGGTTCATTTATGTGGTAAAACTCGCATTCGTTTGTTTGATACATAATTTACTCGCTCCTATAACATTTATTAATGCAGTCCAGGGACGGATTTAGTTTTGGTGGGGGGAGGGGTGGCGGGAAGGAAGCGAACTTTTGATAACTTAAGTCTTTTGTTTTAAATTACGTTAAGAGTTAAAGTAGCCCAAGTAAACTAATAAACGGTAAACCAAAACAAATTAATTTTGAATTCTCCATATTGAACAGTAGCATGCGATCCTGTCTTTGCAAGAATTTCGATGTCATTTAAGTTTTTTTTTTTAAGAAAACCAACATTTCTGATGGTGGGGACGGAGTTGGGGGCTGGACCCTCCTGACTCCCTGTACCCCTCGGACCTTCCGCCCGGACTACATTTGTTTGTGTTTTGTGTTCTCGTGGCAAACGGAATACTAACATGATTTACGTTACGTCTTTTAGACTGGCTCTGGGGCAGCTCAGCAAGATTGAGGGTTGGTCTGGTGATCAACTCAAGGCAATCATTGATAGAGCGAAAACTGTCTGGGTGGAGGCTGTCAATGAGTGGGACAAGGACCAAGTTAGTGAACTGGGAAAAGCTTTAAGTAAGTTTTGTGATCCCGAACGGTGAATAAACATTGTAAGTCTGCGATAAAGGGCATTTACTAAAAATTGGGACAGTGCTCTAACAAAGTGAATCTTAAGAATGATTAGCCTACAGAGCAGGTGTAATTTTGGCGAGTGAGTTCTCAGTGTTTTCTTAGCGAAAATTATGGCCGTCATTTTTGATTTTGATGGAAGCGGAAGACTGGGGAGAGAAATAAATTTGTACCAAGGGGTTAGCGAAAAAATAAGGCGGGGGTTGAGGGTGGGGAAGTGACTAGTTAGATTAAGCACCGCGAAAACGGCGAACGCTGAACGTCGGCTAGCCGTTTGTCGTTTGCCGTTCCGTCCGCGAAGTTCGTCTGTTTAAGCTTCCCGACGACACGGCAGAACAAATGTTCTCGGTCGCCATTCACTGCGACTAGAAATAATGGATACAAAGAAGTAATACATTTTCCGTTTGAATTTGAACTTTATTAGCTTTACAAGCAGTTCATATAGAAGTAAGATGATAAACGAAGCTTAGCTATAAAAGCAAGCGATCAAAATGTAGAAATAGTCGGTAACAAGGGGCTGCAAATACTCACGTATTCGCGTTCCCTACAAACGGGAAAAATATCCTCCTCGAGTAGAAACGGCAGCCGGCAAACGACAAACGGCAAACGCGGGAAATGTCAGGTCAGGTGACCTTCTCTGCCGTTCGCGGGGAAAAATACGTGGTTGAATAAACAATCGCACTTCTTAATGTCAACTCATCCTAAGAAGACGCCTGTACCGCAGGCTAGTGATTTATCAGAACCCTCCGGCCATTTTAGTTAGTACTGAACTGCAGCCACTGATTTGGTGGGATTTAAGCGAAAACTTGGGAAAAATTCCCAACAATATAGCTTAATCAAAGCAAATTGATCATTCTTGTTAATAATCCCGGTTTTTTTGTACACAACGTTACTTTTTTGCAGGCAGTATTTTCTCGTCATTCGTTTTTTGCTGTACATGTTGTTTATGACCTTAATTTAGTGACTGTTATGTAGAAAATGGGTTCAAAAGAAATGAAATTAAAAAAAAATTGTTAACTGACAAGTCCGAAATCGGCTGATTGGTTGAGCGTATTACACAAGTTTTCAAGGCAAGTCACAGAGCAAAGTGAAGCAGCATCAATGCAAACCCAGATTACTTGACTTTGATGCTCGTTTGAAAGTCTCTATGTAAAATACAGTGCAGGGACAACAAATAGACTTCCTGGTAACCTGGCAACAGACATGTTAAAGTCAATATGAAACCCCTCAACAACGAATTCTTTCGTCCTGCATTGCAGATCGAAATTTAACTAGGACTTGCATTCGTATGTGATTGTAATTTGTTTTGTCTCTGTGTAATGACTCCTCTTAAACCACACAGAGGCTCTCTCTAACTCTGACATCCCTAAGCTGCGGAATAAAGTGGTGGACGTCATCCCGCCAGAAGTGTTCGAGGACATGAGTGTCTCTCAGCTCCAGGTAAGTTATTATTATATCTTATTAACCAAGCGCGAGGGCCATACTGGGAGAATATCGGCCCGAGGTCTTGACAGTACGGACCGAGCGCAGCGAGGTCCGTACAAAAAAGACCGAGGGCCGATATTCTTCCAGTACGGTCCCGAGCAAGCTTGGTTAATAAGAGATTTATTACACGACTGAAGTTCAAAGGGACACAAGTGCGGTATCATTCGGGACCATTCGGGACAGTGCCCGGTCCAATACTGAGAGAATATTGACCGGCAATAGAGCATTTTGATTGCTTGATTTTAGTTATTGGCCCTCTGACTGCCCGAGTCGTGTAATAATTTTGGGTATTAGAGACTATGTATCAGACTAACTTTGATTCAGGAGGGATACTAAATGCTGGTCACTCCAAGGAGTTGAAGAACATCAGGCGGACATTTTCAAGGTTGACTCAGTTAATGAAAAACGCCCCATATTACTAGCAACCAAGTAATTTTTGAAAACTAAGTACAAGAATTAAATTCATATCTCACTTTGTCTTTCCAGCATCTGGCTTTTGGCAAGCTGTCATTTATTCTTGAAAATAATTAGTTGTTGTTGGAAACGGAACTTTAGATCTCGACATTATCTTCTCCCCAGGCTTTTACAGCTGATCAGTATAAAGCAATGCAGGCTCCTCAAGTGCAAGCTATCAGCTCAGTCAAAAGGGAGAGCCTCACAATGGCTCACCAAGAGGCCATCAAGAGCGTCATTGACAGCGATCCGGATGAAGAAGTTCCATGGGGACCAGACGATGATGATGAATGTTCAGGTATGTTTTACCCAGCTCTGGCAAAGCGCGAAAAGCGTGAGTGAAGTTACGCGAGAAGCGCGAGAAGCGTGAGAAGCGGGAGCAGAGCGAGTAGCGACAGTCGCGTGAAGGCGTGAGAAGCGAGAGAAGCGGAAGTTGCGCAAAGGCATATGGTGAATGGAAACAAAAACTCGAGAGTAGGAGGTGGGGAAATAACATAAGACTTGAGACATGACTGATTATTTCTGTTTTCTTTGTTTTAGGAGAAACCTGTTCTGCTTCCAGCCACGTAACTGTGACTTTTGTTTCCTTGGTGATTTCTCCTGTTGCCATGGTTTCACTGGCTCACTGAAGAGGCTCGTGTCTTCATTGTTTTCTCTAGACATTGTGATCACTGTGAAAGTTCTGTTTAATCCATTTCCAATATTTTAATAGAAAAGACAGTTACAAGCTATCCATTGTACAGGCTTCGTACATTTCAAATACTAAATGCAATTGTTTTTCTCTGACAAAATGTGTTCGTTCCACGTACAAAGTTATGACAAAATATGATACTTTTATGCTACACGTGATAACGTCTCGTATACGTTAATTATTAGATCATAGAGTAGGGATGAAATTACAACGTTAACAGGGCACGGTAGCCAACTAGCCACAGACTGGTAGAAATTCAGTTTTGGTTAGTGGTTTTCGATTTCTACCAGCCATTTTTGCTTGTAAACAAACTGAAATTGTCGTAACAACTAAGATGTCAGTAGCCACTTGGCTAGTAAGTTGAAAAGTTAGTCGAGTCCTGGTGGTTAATCAGGGATTCGATCTGTAATTAACTTTACAGAAAAGTAAGATTTTATCAAATACGGTGGTTGTCCAAGTTTATTTGCAAATTTTAAAGTTGGGGGAGTGTTTTTAAAAGCTACAAACCCCAACAACGGATGGTAAAATATTTCAATGAACTTTCACTGCCCTCTGTGCTGGATCTCCTAATTGTTGACGTCAACCTTACGACAAGATTTCAGTATCTCCACGATTTCTGTATCGCTAAGCATAGTGTTCTATGCATTAAGAAGTCTGCTTTCTCGGCACTTCCAGCGTGTGTCTTGATCAAGTCCAGTCACCCCTGCCAATTACTCTAAAAAAAAACCTAACATTTCCATCCACAAAGAATTTGAACCTGCCCAAAAATCCTAGAATGTATGCCCAAGCCCCGAAGCCTCAGTTTTTTTTTCCTGAATGAAAGCTGAAGGGAATAGATCGAGGTTAAAGCTATTGCTTTGTTTTATTCCGGGCTGTCTAAACCAAATGTAACCCCACACCCGCAAGGGAGCGTTTGTGGGGCGGGGAAGAACATCCGGACGCTGACCAAAATGAGCGTGGTGTAGGCCAAAGCTGGCGTAAGCATAATGACGTAGGCTGGTAAGAGTGCCGTGCAGGGATTTGCAAAGTCTACCACAGGCAGCCCAAGCTCACTACGAGAAAAGCGGACGTGACTCTTACCGTGTTGCGTAACGTTTTATATTTATAAAGGTTTGTATGGGATGTTATCGGTTTGCCTTAAAAGAGAGAAAAAAAATGTCTTGTTTTGAAATAAAATGGGCTCACCTTATTGCCTTGTTGTTTTCTTTGTTGATTCCGAGCGTCTCAGGCCATTTTGAAGCGTTTTCGGCGAGTTAGCGCTATGTTGGTGTTCAACTGCTAAAAGAAAGACAAGGCCGGAAACCTATTTTAGAAGCGTCCGTCGCCCGAAGCGAATAATTCCGCCAAAAAATTTCCACCAGTCTCGATTCCTCCAGAAAATCAAAGCAGAGATGTTGCAGTTCCATTTTCCATTCACTCGATTCACAATTCCTCCCCCAGATCTTTCACTAGNCCGGTCAAACACCTTCTTCTACTCAAACTTTCCGTAATGCTTGCTGGATAGTTTTTTGGCAAAAGGAAACATCTTTGCAACCTTAACATTGTCCAATCTTTCTGTGATCAATTTTTTTGCGATGCACAAGGAGGTAAGGCAGCTTTTTGTAGAAGAATAATTTCACAACACCGACGATCCTGATGAAACGACTCATGATGAGATCAATACACTAAAAATAGAATCAGTCTCGCAAGCACGTTGTGCAGTGGCTCAGGAGCAGTTCAATACGCTAAAATCACAGGCAGCCCAAGCTCACTACTAGAAAAGCGGACGTGACTCTTACCGTGTTGCGTAACGTTTTATATTTATAAAGGTTTGTATGGGATGTTATCGGTTTGCCTTAAAAGAGAGAAAAAAAATGTCTTGTTTTGAAATAAAATGGGCTTACCTTATTGCCTTGTTGTTTTCTTTGTTGATTCCGAGCGTCTCAGGCCATTTTGAAGCGTTTTCGGCGAGTTAGACGCTCGGAATCAACAAAGAAAACAACAAGGCAATAAGGTGAGCCCATTTTATTTCAAAACAAGACATTTTTTTTCTCTCTTTTAAGGCAAACCGATAACATCCCATACAAACCTTTATAAATATAAAACGTTACGCAACACGGTAAGAGTCACGTCCTCTTTTCTAGTAGTGAGCTTGGGCTGCCTGTGAGTCTGCAAGCTGAGAAGTTAATCTAATTCGTTTCCCTTCAAAGTATGGTAAGTCACTTCTAGACCATAATGAACATAGTCAGATAATAGAAAACATTAAGTCGGTATCTCTCCAGAGGGTGTATACTGAGCTATTTTTCAATTCAGTTGAGGAAAAGCGGACGAAAGCCACCAGCTGAAGTCGGACTGAATGAAGTATGTGATTTTGTCTTGTTTCTCTGTCGTTGTTGTTGTCAGTCCATCCTAATTTGTTTTCTTTAATTTGAGAGCTTACGTAGGAAATTTTTCAGCTTCTCTGTCAGCTTTGTTGGTAAAAGAGTCACAAAAAGGAAAATCAGAGCTGTTAACGTTAGACTTACATACATCTTGAATTTAAAGTCGCACAGATAGGATCGATTCCTTGCTGTTCTGATTCAGTGTCTCGTTTAAATAAGTATCAAGAAAGTCAGTAAGATCAGTTTATGATCTCTTGGTAATATCTGAGCATTTTCAAGGCGCCTTATACGATTTCAGTAGAAGTTTATAAGAATTCTAGTTGAAATTTCCCTCGTAGACATAGATTTTACCTCGGATCTCGGCGTGCTAATTAGCTCAAAGCACTTTCGCTTACTTTAATAAAGGCTTCAAATACGAATAAAGGTCGGCACACACGAGGGGACTAGTCCGCGCGACTAGTCCCGGCGACAAGTCTTTGAAGGGTTTACACAAGGGGACCTGTAGCAGGGACTAGTCCCTTAAGGCGTTCACACGAGGGCACTCAATTGCACAAGAACATGGGAAAATTAAGAGGCAAAAGATGTTTCTTGGTCTGGGGTGTTACATGAAAACAATGAAAATTTGGTAAATTTTCATTGTAGCACTATTAAACATCAACGCAAATGAACTACACTTATTCAGTCGGATTATTCATGCTTTTACGTGTTCCGTTTTTGTTTTGTTTTGTTTTTTATTTTTAACAGACACGGAGTCAAATAGGGTAAAAATTCCATCAAAARGGCTCCAAGACATCTGTATATGTTTACAGAACTAGAAATAGTTTTTTATTCTTCAGTTGTAGAAATCTAGAATTCAGGGAAAATTCATAGAAACTGCAATGTTTACAAATTCCGGAAGTCACGCCTCGTACTGACCCATGATTGGCTTATTTACCGTTTAGTCGCAGGGACTGGTCGCACAAACAGTTCACACGAAGGGACAAACTTTTGTTTCGTGCGACAAGTCCCTGCAACTGGTCGCACGAATTCAAACCAGTTTGAATTCGTGCGACCAGTCACAGGGACCAAATTTTGGTCCCTGCGACCACAGAAATGTGTAGTTCACACGAATGGACTAGTCGCATGAAACTGGTCGCTAGGACTAGTCGCAGGGACTAGTCCCCTCGTGTGTGCCGACCTTAAAGTGACAAGTTTATCGGTCCTTTGATACGTAAGAAAAAAAACACTGGAATTCGAGCAAAAGATTACTGACAGTTTGATTTTTTCGAAAGGCTTGGATGACATTACGATAATTTTGAAAATGAACAATTAAAGGTCTAGGTCTACAGTAAAAATATTTTTGTTACCAATAAACCATTTATTCACCAATACCTGATCAATCAAGTTAAGACAAAAAAAAATACATTTTTGTCCACAGATGGAAAAGAAGTTAAGGATATCTCTCATAACTGGATTCTTCTTGTTTGGAATTTTCTCTGGATATGCCTCTGCTGTGATACTTCCAACGACATCAGGTACTGGTATTGATCACTGTTTGCCATTTCTCATCGAGTACTTTGGATTTAGTGGATCTATTTCATTTTGTTGTTATTGCTGTTGTTGTTGGACATTTGTAGATTTTGGTATACCGATACGAACTATACAATTCATTTTATTGAGTTTTTGTGTTTTGCTGAATTGTTTTCACTTTGTGAAGCGACTTCTTTTTGTGGATCGGGGACAATCCGCTCAGTGTGCTAAAATCAAAACCGGCTCTTCTGAAACTGCCGCCGTTTTGGATCGTAGGACACCTTATGGATCTTAAAGCCTGGTTTCACCATCGACGCAAGCACAACAGCTCTTATCTCGCCAAGAAAACGGCCTTGACGCAAGCACAAGAATAAAAAATTTTACTTTTTCTTGTGCTAGTGCTTGTTCTCGTCGACGTTCGTTTTCATTTGGCATATAAACCTTAGGCTTGCGTTCGTGCTTAAACTTGTGCTTGCGTCGCTAATGAAAACCAGGCTTGTGGTAGATGAAAATTTACCGTAGGTTCCTAGGGGATTAACCGCTAGCCGTAAAACGGCAAAAAAATTAGCAGTTACGCGTAAAAATTGACAAATTTTTACCGTTAGATGTAAAGCCATCACCCAATTGAGAACCTCCCGGTGGCGTGTGTTGGTGCCTCGCGGGGAATTCGTACTGGTCAATATTGTTTGCATTCGTTCCCAGTTTTCATACATTTGAGTCCTTGTTTCCCATTCCTTGTAATAAAACACCAAAATACGATTAAACAGCATTTTGTTCCACTGGTGGAGGCTCCCTTTAACCGGCTCACCATGTTAAACCCTTTGTCAGAAGGTACAAATTCTTATTTCTCCTTTACCTTGTAGATTTTGATTTTCACTTTCCTGTGAAATCAGTTGACTACGCTGTCTTTCTCGAAGATCTGGCCTCGGGGCAACCCCTGACCAAGTTCACGGCTTGTGCGTGGATCAAAACAACGGCTACAGGATCAGTTTAGAGCTTTACCTTTCAAGGTTCTAACGATATAATCATGGAAGTTACTAACGGCGCCGTTTACCTGTGGGTTTAAAATGAAAGAAGGTGAGAGGTATTTGATTTGTTATGGTATAAGAAAGAGTAGATATTAGGTTTATTGCTTCTTTTTCATTATTCAAGATAACCTTTAAGAGGAAAGTCTGAACTCCCGTTTAGTGTACATGTTCCAGTTCAGTTATTCGTGTAGTTAATTTGAAGTTTGTTCCAAATGTTTTAGATGAATTCGATTTATTTTGACGGTTTGAAGCTAAAGAAAACAACCGGTAAATGCAAATCTATTTTGATCAGCACTATCATGACCCGTTTCGGAGCGCTTTTTCTACTCCGGTTATAAGCCCCTTGAAAATTCCTCTTGCGTATTATAAAAACCATTAAGAGTGGTTCCTTACTCTTTGCCTCTGTTTTCCGCCTAATATTCCTTGTTTGCCTTCTTAAAATTGCATAGGCGTTATTTTCAATTTATCTGGGGTCGATATTGAAATTAGAAAAAGATGTGAAAGTTTTAGACGGAAAGTAGCGTGAATCATGAACAATTTGAAAAGGGGGATTTTACGTTTTTAATAAAACGCTAGTCCCATTTCAGAATGAAAATCGTGGATTGCCTTTCTGATCCAAGATCATATAGCTTCCATGCGAATTAAAATACGAAGCATCCATTTTGCGGTTTATCTTTGCCGCTTTCTGTAAATGTGTGTTCTCAAGATTAGACTGGTTATTCGGCAACAAATTGGGACTTGTTTGCTCAGCAACTTAGCTGTTACTATGGATTTGAAAAAATCACTGGGTTTTTATTTGATGTCATAAAAGCCCCGTACATGTGGTTTCTTCAGAATCATAATCCCTCACGAACTTAACTTGAGAGAGAAAAAGCAAAAACCAGTTTCCATGGAGTTTCCAGTTTCCAGTCTCTCCTCTGAGACGCGTTAGTGGATGTTCTAGATGACAAGTGGCACCACCTCTGCACCGCCTGGAACAGCGATGGTGGAGCGTGGAAAATCAGTATAGATGGTAGTGTGCGTGGCCATGGTACGGGTTATAAGTCCGGTGAATCAATTCCCAGAACTGGCTCTCTGGTAGTTGGACAAGATCAAGATTTATATGCTGGAGGTTTCTCGGTATCCGACGCCTATATTGTCTTCGTACATAACTTAAATATATGGGACACTGTGGTTAGTGATGGAGAAATTAACACGTTGTCAAAATCTTGTCGCGCTGGTGAAGGCAATCTTTATAAGTGGTCTGATTTCCTGAATAAGGCGCACAATATCAAAGCAAACGTTCCAATGCCATCTTTCTGCAGATTCTAAGTTCGTAGACGCACATGTCTTTTCGACCAAGTTAAGCCTGTTCAGAGGTGGCATCTCTCACTGTACTAAATGGGGCCGATTCGGCAAAAATGACATCTTCGCAGCTTCTTCAAGATGTGTTGTGGCCGTGGTGAAGTAACACTTTAAGCTTTACTATAACTTAAGCCTTACCGACTCACTATTTTGTTTAAATCCATCTCTTTAGTGTCCCGATAGTAGATTCTATAGGAAATGATCTCAGTTTGCAGTGCTTTTTTTGTGTCGCGTTCCCAGAACGGCAGATACGGGGTGCTTCGTAATTGGGTTCGCCAGGTCAACCACAGTGAAGTACTGGACGGACAGCAGACTCTTACACACGTTTATTGGACTAAATCATTTAATCAGGCTAGCCGACTTGTTACAACACTTGCTGTGAAAACTAAACAGAAATGCACGATCTATCTAAGCTAAGGAAACGAGCTAAACTACAAAGCTGACGACAGAAAACACAACTAACGATCGTGACTTACGTCTGATCCTGGCTCCGGGGATGCGAAAACTCCAAGTTGTTAAAAAGCTTCGAAAGACTCCTATAAAACTCCTCTTTGCTCCAGGGACAACTCCTTAAAACTAAAATGTTTGCGTGAAAAAAGGCCTAATATACTTCTATGACGTAAAGGAAACTAAACTGAAACAACTCTGTGCGGCTAGCCAAAAAAGGATATTTTATAGTCACGTAATCAAAACGAAACAAGGCTACATTTTAAGAAAACAAAAGGTCATATTTAGAGCGTTCTTTGTACATAGACACATCCTCATTAAGACATTCGACATTGACAAGTGCCATCTTTTTTGTGCCGTAGAGGGTTTTAGTTTAAATCTTATCATACTGCGTTGCCAAAGGAGTTGAAAGCTTTGCGACGGCTAATTGAATATTTGGCCTTAGAGGAAGACAAATGCTTAATTTCAAAGGTGCTCAGTAATTTCAAATGTTATGAATTTTACGACAGCTGTAAAGAGATTCGCATTATGAGAGGTTGGAAGATTTCTTTGAAAGCTCAAAAATAAATCCTGCTCGTTGGTTTATTCGAAAGGATTCAAAAACACGTTACCTTCATTAAAATTTGCAAGTTCTCCCGACAACCCTCTTAGAAATGCATACTAATGTACAATACAAAAGCTTCAAAATTCCCAATTCCAAACAACGAAATATCAATTGACAATTTATTTAGTGAAACAAGCAGGACATTTCTTTTTTTAGCCCTGGGTTAAAAGGGACCGCAGCTCAGTTTTAACAGAAAATTTGATTTAGATGTTTGGAATACAGACTTAACGACTGACGCGAGGCGAAGAAGAAAATTTGCTTCTTACGTGTTCGTTATCATGTATTGTCATGCAACGCAAAATGATTTTGGTTTTTTTTTTCTTCTGCTTTGTTAGTTAGAATTTTGAAGCACTGGCATTTACAATAAAATTTGGATGACGGTTTGTTTGTTCCACGAAAACCCTACATATTTAAATAGTGCCAGTTTAACCGCAAAACGTGGATTTGAATATGCTCAATTTGGGGTGTTCCTTGTAAACAAGGCAGATGTGGCGGTTTCTGTCTTCGGTGTGTTTGTAGCCCAGTCAAAAATTGAAAATTTTTTCTTTCTCTTAACGAGATCTTTTCGAGATTTCCCTTTGTCCGTTTCTTAAAATAAAAATCTTCCTTTGGAGGCCAAAATACCAAAAGTTGCAATGTTCAGATGTAACAAAAAATCTGTTCATTTCGTAAATTCAAATAGTATTTTATCACAGAAAGATAGGATTTTGCCGAAATTTAACTCGAGTTTGCCTGACAAGATCCTTTTCTTACGTGGAGGTGTTGTTCATCTTATGCTCTTTCTGCAAGGAAACATACAATCCAGTTTTGTGTGGAAGAAGCTAGACTTTGACGTAAAATAGATCGAGAAACAAGCACACGGAGAAAGCGACTTCAACTCTACCGCTCTGTTGTGACTGTTTTCTCAGTGGTCCGCACAACGAGGCTAAATCCCCCACCAAGACTTTGCGGCGGGTCAAACACAACACACACGCAACAACAACAGGATTTAACGAAATCGACGTGAGGAAGAAAGGCAACAATGTCGAAGCCTACCGTCTCACATCCAAAATACATCGAAATGGTAGTGAACGCCATCAAAGCTCTTGGCGACAAAAGTGGACTGTCTAGACAGGCCATCAACAAGTATATTGTAAAGGAATATAAACTAACCGAGAATAATCACCACAACGCGATGTTAAAGCAAGCTCTGCAGCGGGGTTCTGGTGCCAATGGCCCCTTGGTTCACAAGAAGGGAAAGGGTGCCGCTGGCTCCTTCAAGATTAAACCTGCACCAGTAAAACCGGCCAAACCGGCTACTAAGAAGGCGCCGGCAAAGAAAAACCCTGCCAAAAAAGCACCCGCGAAAAAGAAGGTTCCTGCCCGCAAACCTGCTCAATCGGTGGAGCTTGCTACGCCTCCAGCAACACCGGCTTCGGCTCTTGAAAAGCCTACTAAAACTGCTAAACCTAAGGTAACAAAGGAAAAGGGCGCGAAAAAATCAAAGGTTGTTTCCCCCAAAAAGCCAAAAGTCGTCAAGGCCAAAAAGGCACCAAAAAAAGCAAAGACAGCTGGACGTGCAAAGAAGTGACTTACCTGGAACCTTTAAGAGGAACTTTACCTGCCTGAGCCTTGACACAGTCCCTCTGCTTGAAGCAAATTGTTGCCAAAAGAAGTAGTTGACCCTTGATGTAACCTTCCGTTTTAACTTTGTGGCATGGATTTTCTTGGGTATTTTGATCCAGTGTTTTGTCATATAATTACTAGACTAATTTTTAGTTCTAACTGCGTCGTTTAAAAATGAAACCAAGATATATATATATTTGTGGCGTGGAAACAAAAATATATCACAAAAATAGTCTGATAAAATTAAGACTGAGTTTTTACCCATGATGTACTTTCTTTTATTGTGCCTGTTGAATTGTCTTACATCTTAAGTGGTTTTTCCAAGTTGTGACCCTAGTATACGGTCTTTTTCCCATATTGGTACAAGTTTTTATCTTTTATCACATTGTAAGATAAAGGGCAATTACGGCCACGGAGAAAGTTATGACAATTCAAGTTTTACGGTCACAGAATCAAAACCATTTACCCTTGCCATGCTTTGGCTACATGCTATAAGCAAGATTTATCTAACTCATATAAATAAGTGGTTTTTTTAATGTTTCAAGGAAGCATATAATAAAGTTTTCGCTATCACTAAACTGTCTGTAAATAATTTATTATTTGATAGACATGTTAAATCAAAGAACTGAACTTAATCCAGGAAACTCGTTGTCTAACGGCGAAGTAACAAAGAATACAAACCGGCTACAAACCATTTCTATATTTTGTTCGATCAAATTGGTAATCCCATGCGGGGTCCACCTTATCCCATACGGGACACTTGGTCACACATTGAAGATGATAGAAAACTTTCCCTATGCCCGTGTGGTATATCAAGATGCGTATTATTTAAAATATTCGTTGCATTACAACATTGACCATGACCAACTAGGAACCACTTGTTTCTGGTTGTGTCACATTATATTTTGTGGCTGTGAACCGTCCAGGTAAAAAACGCGCGTACAAATTCAAAAATCCCCTTTTGAAGGCCAAGTTACGTAATCCATAGAGAACAGGATTGCACATACTGTTCAGATAACCCAGTATCAAGGAGGCCATGTCAAGTGCGCGCGGTAAAGGCTTTGAATAATACACATCAAAGAACATGGTCATGGCAAATGGTGCCCAGCAAATAACAAACAGGGTGACCACAAAAATAAACGTGTTTGTGATCCTAGTTTCTTCTGGTGTCACTTGAAATGCTGTCGATTTTAACTTTGTTTTTGACTTTGAGTCTCCTACGCCTCGTTCGTCCGTCTCAGATCTTTTAACCGTGTGGAAGTTTGATTCGACAATCCCAGGATCGCTTCGGCCTCCTGCCTTACTTTCTGTTGATGCACTGTTGAGATGGGCTGGGTTTTGAACTTGAATACTGAGGTTACTCCTTGATAACGCAATTCGTCTCTTGAGATTCTTGGTAAACCTGAGAATGTTGTAATACGAAAACGTCATTACTGAAAGAGGCCCGAAAAAGCAGACGGTGATCATAAAATACATATAGTACACATCTGAAGGCCAGTAGACAAAACAGTAAGATTTTCCCGGGATGAAACGATATTCTGCCCAGCCCAGAAGTGGAGGAGCAGCCAAAGATAAGGCGACTACCCACACTGCAGCGGCAAAGAGGAAGGCTTTTCTCCAGGGGAATATCTTTGAGTAAGTGTTCCATCTGACGATGTAGAAATATCGGTTGATGGCAATCATGCCAAGAGACATCACCGACCCAATGAAGGATAAAATTGTGAAAAAGCCGAGCACCACGCAAGCGGTCTCTCCAAACACCCAATCCTGCGTTATGATGGTAGCAAGTGTGAATGGAATGCTGAAAATCGACACCATGATGTCAGCTGCGGCCAGATTGAGAATAAACAAGTTGGTAACGGTTCGAAGATCTTTGTCCTTGTAGACGATGATGTACAAACTCACGTTACCAATTAACGCTGTTAAACCAATGAAACAGAGGGTAGTCGTCTCCAAGACGGTCTGAGCTAAGAGCCATGACGCCATTTTATTGTGAAGGTTCCTAAAGTATCAAGTATTCCAGTGTTATGTATGATAAATCATTATAAGCAGTATATCGCGGCTTTAATTTCATTTACAGTAGTGAAGTACAAAGGTTTGTAGGCACGAGGTCATAAGTTGTAAACAGATGTTTGTGAGTTTAAGAGATAATTTGCTTTTATCATCTGATTTGATAATGTAAATTGGCCACTATAGTTTTAAAAGGCTAACGGTTAGAGCGTTAGCCTCTCATCACAGAGAAGAGCTAAAGATCGAAATATCAGCTTTAGAAACTAACGGTGGCCAATTTACGTTGTCAACTCAGTTAAAAAAACCCAATCATCTTTAATAACCACACCGACGAAGCACCACAGTTTCCGTAGAAACTTACCCACTTCTTTCATTTGTAAATTTAGCCTTTATTTACAATAATTTTTGTTTGATTGGTTATGGTGTGAATCAATTACAACAATATTTCTTTATTGATTTGCGTCGAAGTGATGTGCATAAATTTCTTTGCGCCTAATAAATATCATAATTTGCGTCGGTCGGCTCCTTTGTAAAACGTCTCCAGAGACTATTTCTTTTCCGTATAGCTGAACGCCATTGGTTGTTCATATATGGTACATGATTCCACGTACGTGTGCATACTTGAGTGGCGAATGCTCATCAAGAATGTCATTGAGCGTTTATATTTTTTGTCGTAAAACGGAGAACCGAAAGTGATGTTACACTGTGGACACTTTAGAGGTCAAATTCCTGTCCATTGGCGTTCAGGCAGTTTTTCTAAATTTCCGCCATTTCTCTGTCTTTGCTATGGTTTTACACATGAACCCGCGAGAGTTGGCGATATGTAAGCAGACGTTTCTAATGTACACACGACTCCGGTGCAATGGTGATTTTCCTTTTGTAATGAGATTATATACAGTTTACAGTCTGATATGATGAATATATGAAGTTCATATATTTTGAACTGCGGTGGTTATAGAGATACGTATGATGCACGATCCTCGCAGTAGAGAGCGCTATTTATGCAATAGCGAAAATCAGACCTGAAAAAAATCAGGCCTGTACGGGATTCGAACCACTGACCTCTGCGATACTAGTGCCTCGCTCTATCAATTGAGCTAACAAGCCAACTGGGAGCAGGCCGTTAAGTTGATTCGTAATAAACCCGTGATGATAAATCAGATATGATGAATATATGAAGTTCACATATTTTGAACTGAAAAAGTTCGCTATTGCATAAATAGCGCTCTCTACTGCGAGGATCGTGCATCATACGTATCTCTATAACCGCAGTTCAAAATATATGAACTTCATATATTCATCATATCAGACTGTAAACTGTATATGATCTATTCATTACAAAAGGAAAATCACCATTTCACCGGAGTCGTGTGTACATTAGAAAGGTCTGCTTACATATCGCCAACTCTCGCGGGTTCATGTGTAAAACCATGGCAAAGACAGAGAAATGGCGGAAATTTAGAAAAACTGCCTGAACGCCAATGGACAGGAATTTGACCTCGAAAGTGTCCACAGTGTAACATCACTTTCGGTTCTCCATTTTACGACAAAAAATATAAACGCTCAATGACATTCTTGATGAGCATTCGCCACTCAAGTATGCACACGTACGTGGAATCAAGCACCATATATGAATAACCGATGGCGTTCAGCTATACGGAAAAGAAATAGTCTCTGGAGACGTTTTACAAAGGAGCGGACCGACGCAAATTATGATATTTATAAGGCGCAAAGAAATTTATGCACATCACTTCGACGCAAATCAATAAAGAAATATTTTCACAAGAAATATTTTCCGAAGGATCCCAAAACCCAGGTGACTTTTGGAAAATGTATCGTCCATTCCTACACTCCACGAGCTCTAGCAAAGCAAACGACGTATTACTTAAAGAAGACGGTAACTTCATAAGTGAAATATATGAACTTCATATATTTCATAGTATCTGAAAAAAGTTCTTGCTGAGCTTTTCAATTATTACTTTGTAAACATTTTGGAAGATGCCAATGGGATCACGGAAATGGAATATGGTAGAGGTTTCATCGAACATCCAAGTATGAGAGCAATAATGCACAATAAGGTAGAAAGGGAAACCTTCAACTTTGACCTTGTGAATTCACTCCAAGTGGATCTTTTATTATCTTCCATTAACAGTCGCAAATCTTGTGGTCATGATATGTTACATCCGAAGCGACTCAAATTATCCGCTCCAATTATAACGCTCCCAGTGTCAAAAATCATAAATTCCTCAATCATTTCGTGATGTTATCCGGTCAGGTGGAAAATTAGCCAGGTAACACCGTTATTTAAAATAGAAGATGAACTCTGCAAGAAGAATTATCGACCGGTAACGGTACTACCAATTTTAAATAACATCTATGAGAGAGTCTTGTCTGATCAATTATCGGTATATTTCAAAGACATATTGTCTGATTTCATTTCTGCATATCGCTGTGAGACCACACTGCTGCGTCTAACAGAAGATTGAAGGGCTGGCTTAGATAATAAAGAACTCGTTACTGTGATATCTTTAGACCTTTCCAAGACCTTTGACTGTGTACCACGCGACTTGCTGCTAGCTAAGTTGAAGGCGTATGGGGTAGCCGAACATGGCGTTGCTCTGTTGAGAAGTTATTTGTCTGGAAGATCACAGAGAGTTAAAGTAGGTGACAAGTTTTCTTTCTTGGCTTCCGGTTATAAAAGGGGTACTTCAGGGATCCTTCCCTTGGACCCCTTTTCTTCAATGTATTTATGAATGATCTCTTTTACTTCCTGAAAGGAGCCTGTATCAATGCTTATCCTGATGATGAACAAATTTATGCCTCGGAGAAAGATCCCGTGAAGTTAGAAATGAAACTTCAATGGCAACTTCTCGAAGCTGACCAATGGTTTGGTATAAATGGCATTATTACAAATCCTGACAAATATCAAGCAATGATTTTAGGTTTCACAATGAATGACACTAATATTCCGGTAAAAGATAACATTGACCTCTTGGCAGAGAACATTGACAAGAATCTGCAGTTCAACAGCCATGTTTAAAACATTTGTACAAAGGTCAACAATCAAATTAATGTAATTTCCCCTTTTAGGAAAGTAGTACCAACAGATGTGAAATGTAAACTTTACAAGGCCTTTATTGTTCCATATTTTAGATATTGCTCAGCAGTTTGGCACTTTTGCGGGGCTCGAAATGGAAGTAAATTAGAGCATCTGAACAAAAGGGCGCTCAGGATTGTTCTAGCTGAGAAGTCTCTACACTACCAGGAGCTACTGAGCAAAATTAATTCTAGTGATTTTTATAGTATTAGGTGCCAAGACATGATGAAAACAGTTTTTAAGACAATTCAGTTCGAAACGATGCCGAAGTACATAAGTGGTCTTTTTCAAATGAGGAGGACTGAATACAACCTACGAGGATCAAGGAAACTTGTTATCCCATATGTCAAGACCACCACGTATGGTCTCCACTCCAGATACAACTCTGCAAACGTGGAACAAACTAACAGAGGACCTGAGGTCATTGACGCACAGGAAACCCAAGCTCACACCTAGAAAAGCGGACGTGACTCTTACCATGTTGCGCAACGCTTTATATTTATAAAGGTTTGTATGGGATGTTATCGGTTTGCCTTAAAAGAGAGAAAAAATGTCTTGTTTTGAAATAAAATGGACTTACCTTATTGCCTTGTTGTTTTCTTTGTTGATTNAGCGCGAGGGCCGTACTGGGAGAATATCGGCCCGAGGTCTTGACAGTACGGACCGAGCGCAGCGAGGTCCGTACAAAAAAGACCGAGGGCCGATATTCTTCCAGTACGGTCCCGAGCAAGCTTGGTTAATAAGAGATTTATTATACGACTGAAGTTCAAAGGGACACAAGTGTGGTATCATTCGGGACCGTTCGGGACAGTGCCCGGTCCAATACTTAGAGAATATTGGATCGGCAATAGAGCATTTTGATTGGTTGATTTTAGTTATTGGCCCTCTGACTGCCCGAGTCGTGTAATAAAAAGACATATTGTCTGACTTCATTTTTGCACATCGCTGTGAGACCACACTGCTGCGTCTAACAGAAGATCGAAGGGCTGGCTTAGATAATAAAGAACTCGTGACTGTGTTATCTTTAGAGCTTCAGTTTCCAAGGCCTTTGACTGTGTACCACACGACTTGCCGCTAGCTAAGTCGAAGGCGTATGGGGTAGCCGAACATGGCGTTGCTCTGTTGCGAAGTTGTTTGTCTGGAAGATCGCAGAGAGTTAAAGTAGGTGACAAGTTTTCTTTCTTGGCGTCCGGTTATAAAAGGAATACCTCAGGGATCCGTCCCTTGGACCCCTTTTCTTCAATGTATTTATGAATGATCTCTTTTACTTCCTGAAAGGAGCCTGTATCAATGCTTATGCTGATGATGAACAAATTTTTGCCTCGGATAAAGATCCCGTAAAGTTAGAAATGAAACCTCAATGCCAACTTCTCGAAGCTGAGCAATGGTTTGGTATAAATGGCATGATTACAAATCCTGACAAATATCAAGCAATGATTTTAGGGAATACAAACTACACCTTCAGTTTCACAATGAATGACACTAATATTCCGGTAAAAGATAACAGTGACCTCTTGGGAGTGAACATTGACAAGAATCTGCAGTTCAACAGACATGTTAAAAACATTTGTACAAAAGTCAACGATCAAATTAATATAATTTTCCCGTTTTAGAAAAGTAGTACCGACAGATGTGAAATGTAAACTTTACAAGGCCTTTATTATTCCATATTTTAGATATTGCTCAGCAGTTAGGCACTTTTGCGGGGCTCGAAATGGAAATAAATTAGATGAGAAGTCTCTACACTACCACGAGCTACTGAGCAAAATTAATTCTAGTGATCTGTATAGTATTAGGTGCCAAGTCATGATGAAAACAGTTTTTAAGACAATTCAATTCGAAATGATGCCGAAGTACACAAGTGGTCTTTTTCAAATGAGGAGGACTGAATACAACCTACGAGGATCAAGGAAACTTGTTATCCCATATGTCAAGACAACCACTTATGGTCTCCACTCGTTCAGATACAACTCTGCAAACATGTGGAACAAACTAACAGAGGACCTGAGGTCATTGACGTCGTTGAATGAGTTCAGAACTAAAATATGTCAAATTTCTTTTGAACATTAAATTTCCTTCGAACATAAATGTAATTGTTACTTATGTAAATAGTAGTGTAATGTACTGTATATAATATACGACACTATTTGTTGTTATTTATTTTCTTTACTTATTTATTTATATACTTAATTTCCTCTCTCTTTCTCGGAGAAATTAGCTATATAGCTACTCTTGTAAATCCGAGGTGAAATAAAGGTGATGTATGTACGTAGTCCAACCGGCGGCTGATTTCAAGACTAGAGTCTGACGTTGTATACTGGACAAATGGCCGGTGCTCACAGTAAAAAAACAAAAACATTTCTTGTCAACAAGACCTAGAAGGCTAGGATTTTTCTCGCCGTAAAAGAAGAAACAAACGCTAAACCCCATATTAGGCATCGTATTTAAAAATTTCTCACGTGTTTTGTTTAGAGCGCAAACCAAGTGAAAGACCCATATTGTGATAATGATTAATTTATTCAAAGATGGCCTTTGACCACAAAAGTCTGAGTTATATACTGGAAAACAAATGGCCGATGCCCACAGTAAAACAGAAACATCTCTTGTCAATACGACCTGGAAAGCCAGGATTTTTCTCGCTGTAAACACAATGATGATGAAACAAACGCTAAAACCCGTATTAGTCATATTACCTGTCTATATGTTAAACACTTCTGACGTGTTTTGTTTTGACCAAAGTTGTAATAATGATCAATTTATTCAAAGACAGACTTTTCTTTAGGATGTTTCAAAATTCTATCGACGAATATTGGTAAAATCACTATTTCAATCACTAAACTCAATAATCTTTGGCAAATTTGTTCATACACAAATGAGTCAACCCATTTGTTTTTCATTTAAACGATATTACGAACTGACTTATTTCAAATTTGTAACGCAACTGATTCGCTCTACCATGGGTCACTCCTACATAAGTAAAAAACGTGTAATGGTAACACTTAAGAAAGAGAGAAATACAAGATAGCAATTCCTTACCTTAAAATTTGAGATTTGAAATTCGGTTTGTTGCCATAACGAAATGGAGTCACCAGTACAGTCCACCCACGATCTAAACATGTGCGTTGATTTGCAACTGCAGTCAACCCCCAAACATTATGAAATACAGGAAAGAGAGTAACTAGGAATAATTAAAATATTGCGGCCGACCACAAACAATGCACTTTATCATATATGACCTAATCAGAGTCGGGTCACGTAAAGAAAACGGAATTTTTTTGAAATACATGTGTGACTTTAAAGCGAGATCTTAAAATAGCAAAACTTCACGCCTCTTTATTATTAGTCGTTTGGTTTAGACACTGCCTCATTTGAATTGGTTTTTATCATTCTTTCTGTCTTATCGTTGTCTGAGCTAATATTTCGATGGTCTCAGTCAAGATTTAGGTAGTATTATTGTACTACGCAGACAAAAAAGACTATTTCGCGATATTTTGACCGAGTTCGAATATCGTTAAGTACAATAGAAGTATTTTACATGCAGAAGAAAGGCACGCTTGCATATAGTGCAAAAGGGGTTTTTGACCGTCAGCAACGTAATCCAGTTTCGTATGAGAATATTTAATGCGGTTACAGAAATACTGCTTATGGTTTCTGAGAGACTCCGCTTCAATATCCGTTTTGAATGAACACGTCACGTTCGGTGCATCATGAAAATTTCGGATCAATGATACTATCTGAGAAACAGCACACCCACTCCTCCCCTAGCCAAACAACAGTGACCTGATAACTGATGTTGGGCTTGGCGAGGGATAGGTACGCAGTTGTTTAGATACCGACAACGATCCAAAATTTCAGTTTAACTTATTATTCATCCGCATAAAACTTGTTGTTCCTCCTTGGCTTGATACAGCGTTGTATATATTTGACGTCACACCCACCTAATATTTTGAAGTTTCATTCTAGTTGGTAATCGTAAATACAAATAAGGTCTTTGAAGCATACCATCCCATGTTAAATTCTTTCTTAGTCCGGACAGTGGTCATTGTAACTCTTAAGATTTCAAGGTTGTTTGTTACTTGGAAATCGAAGAATCACAGGAGTTAGCGCTCTGTAAAGCGTCAAGCAACCCTCACTGCACTTGATAGAATGATTTGCAATACAGTACAATTTCAAATCAGAAGTCAAAGTTCAAGAATTACTCTAGCTGCGAGAGCGATAACAGAAGGTAGATTATGATGAAAAGTAGCTTGTTCCAGGCGTTTAGCAGGTAAAACGGTGCGAAATCCGTGCTAAAAACGAAACAGCGCGATAGTGGCGGCAAAAAGAAACACTGAGTTCTTAGCTAGAGAAAATAAGGGGGCATTGTTTTCACATGTCATGACCATTCTCGATCGTGGAAACATTTTTTTAAGTTGCTCACCTCGAAAGAAGAGGGTCAATCAAAATCAGTCCCTACTGTCTCAGAACAGAATAAGGAAATGTTATCTTCCCAAATTTCCTCAGGAAAGATTGAAAACGAAACTCAAAATGCTGATACTCTACCACCACAAAAATTTTTAAGTTTGTGAGGATCTGTCAAAAAACTGAAAGTCTCTAAGAAAGAAGCGGCTAATACCAACTTATCTAGATCACGGATCTTAACTCCTTTCGCGATTCCCAAATCCCGTGTCCCGGTTCCTACTCCTATATATCAGATTTTTTTTTTTCTAACTAAGAAAGCCACTATTTAGTCCTTCCATCTGAACATGCTTCAAATGCGCAAAAAAATAAAAGTTGTCATTTTATGATCCGTCCAACGCGAGCAATCGTATAGAAAACTAAAATAAAAGCTTAGGTGTATATACACGGCCAGACGGGTTGACGAGAGTTGCTCCGGAAAAGCCGGACGAATATGAGGTGAGAAACATAGAACGGAAGTCGCGCTTTAGTGAATTTTTTGCTCTAAATCGAAAAAAAAAAGAAAAAAAAGAGGAAATTGGTTTTATTGTAGAATTGTCTTGTGGTTGTCTCCCATGTCCCCGTCTATCGTGTTCCTCTCAGGTTAAAACGAAATTTCAACACTTAGTGGTCATGTGATAACAATAGTATTGAGCAGGCCGGACGGGAAAATATTTGACATTCGGTCAAGATGCGCTGTGCTCAGTCCTTGCGTCATGACCTCCAACTCCTTCCGGCCCTTCCGTGCACTCGCCGTCAATAGAAAAAGAATCTTTGGAAAAGAATCTTTCAAACGACTGCATTAAGACTTATAAAGCTGATTTATTTCCTTTTTCTAAAATACAGTACTTAAGAACAGATTTTCAGGCATGTGAGGTGACAATCCTAATACAAATGTCCTTAATCAAGGTCGATGTTTTATTAAAAGAAATTTGAACTGCGTAGGAGAAGGATACCTCGCCTCTTGAAAGTGAAAACGAGAGGCTCAGATCGTTCCGATATATCTTGGTCTTGTTGTTTTATGGAAATACACGAACGTTAGAAATTTACAATTCAAACAGCTAAGCATAAGTCGTTTCTGATTCAGTTGTAGCACGTTGTTGACTCTGAACCGTCTAGGTAGACATCTCGAGTACAAATTCAAAAATCCCTGTCTGATGTCGGAATTGCGTAATCCATAGAGAACGGGATTGCACATACTGTACAGATAACCGAGTATTTAAAAGGAGGCTATGTCAAGTGCGCGGGGTAAAGGCTTTGGGTAATACACATCGAAGAACATGATCATGGCAAATGGTGCCCAGCAAATAACAAACAGGGTGACCATAAAAATGAACGTGTTTGTGATACTGGTTTCTTCTGGTGTCACTTGAAATCCGGGAGAAGACGACTGTGATTTTGACTTCGAGTCGGCTGCACGTCGTTTGCCCGTCTGCGATCTTTCAATTGTGTGGTGCCTCGGTTCCCTTTGCGGGATCGCTGAGATGAGCAGGGGCGACAGCCATATTCCTTGCTGTTGCCATTCGTCTCTTGACATTCTTAGTAAACTTGAGAATGTTACAATATGAAAACGTCATTACTGAAGGGGGACCAAAGAAGCATACGGTAATCATAAAATACATGTAGAAAACACATTTGAAGGCCAGTAGACAAAACAGTAAGATTTCCCAGGGATGAAACAATATTCTGCCCAGCCTAGAAGAGGAGGAGAAGCAAAAAATATTGCGACTGCCCACACTGCAGCGGCATAGAGCAAGGTTTTTCTCCAGGTGAATGTCTTTGAGTAAGTGTTCCATCGGACGATGTAGAAATATCGGTTGATAGCGTTCATGCCAAGAGACATAACCGGTGCAATAAAGGATAAAATTGTGAAAAAGCCGAGCGTCACTCAAGCAGTCTCCCCAAACACCCAACGGTCTTTGACTATAGTCGCAATAGTCAATGGAATGCTTAAAATTGACACCATGATGTCGACCGCGGCCAGATTGAGAATATAATATATAGATTTAGCCAAGCCTAGAAGCGGAGCTCCCAAGTTCGTAATATTAATGATAACATAAAAGATGTGCATTTGCCAAGACTCGCCTGAGACACCCTCCCTTCGTTTTGATAGTCTCCCCTACCCTACCCGTGCAATCTGAAGGCACGTACGTACGGAAGTACGTACGCTCGGTCAGTCACGTGACAACCAAACGAAAAGAGATTGACCATATTCCATGGGGATGGGGCTCTGCCCCACGCGCGCGAAGCGCGCGTGGGAGCCCCGCTACAAGTTGGTGACGGTTCGAAGATCTTTGTTCTTGTAGATGATGACGAGTAAGCTGATGTTACCGATAAACGCAGTTAAACTAATGCAACAGAGGGCGGTTGTCTCCAAAATGACAATTGATATATTTAACGGCATGGTTTGGTCACACACCTCAGGAAGAACTTCTTCCAAGCTCAAATTATCAAGTTCTTATTAAAGAAATTTTCAAAGTAACTTAACGTCGACAATGATTTTTTTAAAAACCCGTTACTAACTAGAAAACCACTGCGAAATTTACATTACTGTCAGGTGGCTGCTTGATTGGCAATCTGTATATCGGAAACAGGGATATCTCTGATTTTATCCTATTAAACGATTCGTTCCAATGAAAATGGCTTCTCTGTTTACGTCTTTTTGTTGTCATGGTGATAGCGCGCGTAAACAAAGGCTGGTGTTTGCAATGAAGAGTTTGTTTGAGAATAAACATATGAGTGGGACAAAATTTAGAAGGTTGGCGTGTGGAGCTTAAATTGGAAAGTACTCAAGGAATAAAAGCATAACACATCTCAAGGAGCCTACAAAAGAGAAAAAAATAACCTTAAAAGCATTCTTCATGCACTCAATTCGTGAATGAAAGGGAGGAGGAAATTTTACCCAACGAAAGGTTCTCCCGGAGGATTTCATGATACAGTGGTGTTATATTACCTCGTCCACTTAATATCTGAAGACGACAAAAGTGTAAAAAGGGGATTATTTCTGACATAAAACAGCAAACTGTTACACTTGAATCCTACAGTCACTGAAGTGCAATTACGTGCAATGAAAGAAAAAGAAAAACATGGTACATCGATGAAAAAAGGGAAATTGCCATCGAGTAATGCACCAGTTATAGCAATATGCATAAGCTTTGCATGATATTTTTTTGTTTGGACGAAATCATGACCTGCCACGACAGGAAACCGCGAAAATGCCGAGGAAATTGCCCTGGAAAAACCATTACTGTATATTACGCCCACCACATTTCCGTTGTTTAATCTGGGGAAAACCTATCGTAAAGCAGCTTTGGCCATTTTAAAAGAGGAAATCACTGTCTTTGCGAACAAAGCACAAGAGGAATTGACGTAAATCAGAAAGGATTGCTGTGAACTGACACGAGGCATTTAGAACGAACTGATGAAAAGGCGCCAGACTAGAATATAAAATAATGCTACTTGTTATCACATCTGCCCCCGTCTTTTAACGATATAAATCTTTAATTATAAAAAAAATCCTGATTTGAAGATTTACCCACCAAGCCTATAGGTTACGATGAATTGTTCTAAAAAAAAGCTACGCAACAACAGAAGAGCTTTATAGGTGATCTTGCGCAATGTTGGCACCCACGAGGTTGCTGTTTAGCTTCGGAGGCCGAATAAACCATTAACCGTCCAAAACCAGCTCTGGTCCAAAGCTATCGTACTCGTCTACAGAAAGTTAACATAAAAAAAACTCTTTGCAGAGGCGGCGGAACGTTTTTGAGACGTGGGGGAGGGGGGAGGGGGAAAGAGGAGAGAGGAGGGAAGGAGGGAAGGCCATGTCATGCGCGTGCGCACATCACTGGTACAAGCAAACCTCTTTGCAATCTTTACTCTCTCCAGTGTGTCCGAAATCGATTTGCGATTTCCTTATATTTCCGTCTCAGTCTAAAATATTTCAACTTAACCTTTGATTGGGTTCCCACAAACAAAATAAATCAGGTATAATTTCGTAGACACGCTGTCTGGTCTAATGGCGAATCGTTACAATTGAGAAGCTTCTAGTACACAGGCCGGAGCTGATGAAAAAAATTTCACAACATATTATTTCGCCAAGCACGATGCTGATAAGCGCATTTGTGAAAAGATCACGAGCTTGAATCTTTTGCCAATTTTTATGCGGCACCAAGAGAAAAAAAACACCGGTGTAAAAAATTTATTTCTGTCGTTCACAATGTACGTAACATCATAAATAGTCATATACATGGTGGTTGCTCTGTTGACAGAGAGATCGAAAATCTTCATTTGGGTCTGAGCAGTAGAAACAGATTCTTGGGCAAAGGTTACTCCATCAATGAGACTAGTCCATTCGAATTCTCCCAATATTGTGGGATTTGAATGTCCATTTGAACACTTAACAATGCACGAAAACTATCTGACTTCGTTTGACATTCGGTAGAGTTTACGCATACCAAATTAAATCGCGCTGTCTTCGGCAGGACTCGGCACTAGTTCGGGGGATGATGCAAAACGTGGACACTGTTCGGATTCATGAGTCCGCTTCACGACAGCAACTTCTTTCTTTGTTCTTGGAGTAAAAATTCCAAATGTTCTGCTCGTTTCATGGCGGCCTAAGTAAACACAAAAACAAATGTGTGTAAAAAGAAAAAAAGATGGGTGTAGAAAAGTATTTTTGCCTATAAGAGGCTTTCACTGATCTAAATATCCGTCAAAGCGCTAGCACTTCTCACTGGCAAACAAAAAGAAAGCGAGTATAAAAAATGCCGCTGCTGCCATGCAGGGAAATATGTGACGCGTATGACGAGAGGGAAAACACGGGTTGATGAAAAATTTACTTCAAAACTCTCACCTGATGTTGCTCTCGTAGTGTTTTCATTGTTTCTTCTTTTTTAGCTATGGCCTGTCTTACTCTAGCGGTAAAAAAACAGGATAAGTTTCAATAACAAAATGACAAACTAGACCCATACAAACACAAAACCACTGAAATATCTCCACGTCAGTAATATATTTGTACACTAAAGGGAACTGGTCGCAATTTACTAACCTTTTATGCACTTCTTCCATTTCTTGCTCTTTCTCCCGCGTAACTCGATCTATTTCTAATCTGTGACGGGCCTTCATTTCGCTCACTTCTGTTTTCAAACGCTTGTTGTCTTCGTCAGTTGTCACAAGCCTGAAAAAAAGTAGAAAATCGTTGAATATCCGTTGACGTTACACCATTTTCGAGTTTCAAAACCCTCACTTTGAAAACGAGGCTTAGTACAAAACCCGTGCTGTGAAAAATGAGTTTCAATTTCGTGAGAAAGGAACATTACTTCATCATAACGGCAATAAGATGGAACGCATTTTGATTGAGTTCACTACAACCGAAATAAAATCAAAGGTCACTCGGAACAAAGGATGTCGAAAGGAAAAAATGGGAGTTACAATTAAGACATCTGCCAAACCTCAACACCCTAATGTCAAAAGACAAGTTCTCCATCCTGTTCTTTATACATTTCCTATGACACTTGCAAGGAGAATTTGTTCATTAATCGAGAGCTTCTTGAGTTTGTGATCATTCCTTTCATTTTCATGACCTTGTTGATTGATTGATTGAATTGATTATAAAGTTGGGAGAAATTAGAAGCAAATCACTCTTGCGTGTAAAGGGTTAAAGGAAAACGTGTGTGCCCAGATCACGCTTGGTTTTCTACTTTTGCATTTCATTGGTTGAGGTGGTCAAATTTAATTACTAGTGAAGCCTTTCTTTCGTTGCAAACCTGTCAGCGAACTCCTGCCGAATGATGTCCGCCACCTTTCCTCTCTCCTCCTGCAGCCGTTTAGCTACTTTATCTATCCCCTCTACCTCTTCATCCTTTTGCTTCAAAATGCTCTTCAACCGTGCGTTTTCTCCTTCGACTTCGGATAAACGACCCTGTAACATAACGAGTGCTTCTGCTATGATTGGGAATTTAATTCAGTTCAATAATTTCCAGCAAAAATTCGTTTGCCCTGATGATGACAACAGAGGGATCTGGAGCTTGGAAGGGAACAAGTGGTAAATTCCCTTCCGTGCGCAATTGATTATTAATAGAGGCGTTTCCAGAGACAAATAGAAATTCGCAAACCAGAATCAAACGCGGGAAAAACCAAATTGAAAATTCCACTCCCTCACCATTATACTGCCAAAGTAACCAGTCAAAATTTAACTGGAAAATTATAATGGGCAGTTTTTCATAACTAGAACTGTTTTCGATTGAGTGTAATAAATAAAAAAGCAAAGACATCACAATTGCCAATCAAAAGGAAGGAAAAACCCACAAAGAGCCAATCATAATCCAAAGTCAAAACAAGCAAACTCCCTAAAGCGCGGGAAAAACGCTGGTGACCAAGTCGTATATTGGTTTTAGCTTGCATCTGATTGGTTGAGATGATTGCGCGAGTTTTCTGAATCAATCACGTAGCGAAGTAAAGCAAAACAAGTGCAACCCAAAAATACGATCGACACTCAGTTGAAAACTGCCTTAAAACATCGATTAGGAGTCACCGTAGCCCTTTCTGACTAGCTCTTGGTGCGCGAAAATAGAAACCAAGGAACAACTGATCGGTGCCCATCTTGATTCTACGTCGTCAGTAGGAATTCCCCAAGTGTCGTATCCAATCTCAAGTATTCCGGAAAAAATTAAAAAACATGCAAAGCTTGCAAGACATACAGACCATTCTTACTGATATATACCAGGCGTGTTTGGTTCTCACCTTCATGTTGTTGTATTTTTCCTGCATATTCCGTTCGGATTCCTCTAGTTCTTTCAATTCAGATTCGTACTTATCTCTTACCCGCCTTAAAGCCAAAAACACACCGTTAGAATTCATGGTTTCTTAAGGTAAGTTTTGAGAGCGCCGCTTGTGTCAGAAAGGTCTGTTTTACGTTTTCGCTCCATAACAAAGAAATTGTCTGTATTCCAGAGTTAGTTACTCATTTTGCTTTACGTTGGCGCGATGTTTAAATCATCTAGAAGCAAACTGACGAATTTCCTACTCGTTTTAGATTAAATTTTACAACTAGTACCACGACAGTAATTGAAAAACCACCAGCTCGAAGACTTATTTTAAGCTAATTTCACTGAAATAGAGCATGGACTTTTCACTCGTCAATCGTCTAAGACTGCATATATTGGTCGCATTATTGCCCAAAGATCATATGAAATCAGGCTCAGGTCAGGAAGATGTCAATTCTAAGCACTTACTTGATTCTGTTCTCAGCGGCTCGCTCACATTCTTCTCTCGCCAACGATGTCTCTTCTTCCAGTCTGGAAATCACCATCTCAATTTCCTACGATAAACAATATGGGTGAAAGAAAAAAAGAGAGACAGCCAGACAGGTAGATAGACAGAGAGACACACAAAAAGACACAAAGGCACACAGACGCATAGACAGGCAGGCAAACAGACGGACAGACAAATGAACAGAAAGACAGGAAGAAAGACAGGACCAGCCGAAGCATCAAGTAAGTCTTGCTTCTCCTACAACTAGAAGTATAACGAAATGCGAAAGCTAACATCAATAAATTCCCACGAGCCTCTCCTCAAGAAGATTTGGATTTTATCAACTGAGTTGATAATGTAAATTAGCCACCGTAAAGGTTTCAAAGCTGACGTTTCGAGCGTTAACCCTTCGTCAGAGCGAAAGACGAAGAGCTAACGCTTGAAACGTCAGCTTTCAGACTCTTTACGGTGGCCAATTTACATTATCAACTGAGTTGATAAAACCCAAATTACCTTGTTACTCCCACTGACGCAGCACCACTGGCAGTTTCTTAAGAATCTTACCGCCTCTCCTCAAGAACACTGAGATGAAATAACAAGACTAATTCTTGCTAAGCCTAAAACGCTAACTTTACTTACTCTATCGCGTCCTTCCCGAACAGCTTCTTTTAGTTCCCGCTCTTTCGTCATTAACACGGCATCCTGTAAACAAACACGCCAAACAAACAAACAAACACAAAAGGGACACAGTCAGGCAGCCTAGGTAGATAACCTCGGCATATCTCCGAGAGAATCATAAACGGCCAGAGGTCAGAATTTTAGGAACTTTTATGACATAACTGATGAATCAAACCCAAAAGGGGAAATTTGAGTTCCGTTAAAAAAGTACCCTACCTGCTTCTTCATGTAATTTTCAATCCAGCCTTGCTTTTCAATCTCCAGCCTTTCTTTTAACTCATTCATTTCTAACTGCAATGCAAACCAAATCCGACCTTAGATACAACGATTCCCTAAGTAAACTTGTATTTCATCAATGGAAAAAGACAAACATGTCTGGATAGACAGACATCTATATAACACTCTTCTAACGCCCCTTTTAGTCTGAAGGATTAGATAACGTAAATGCGGCACCAGAGGAGTGTGGGAATCCCGTCGGTAGAAAAGTAAATGTTCAATTTACTCTCAATTTGCTTTACTGTTTCTATCTTTACTGAGTCCTTAATTAGGCTTAGAATAGCAGTGTACAAGAACGAAGGTTAAAATCGACTAAGCATTAAATTGAACCACAATATATCTATCCACCAATGCTGCTTAAGGATAAATGGCCAGTTATATGAGTATTTCTTTACCTGATGTTTCCTTTCCTGATCATCCATAGCTCTTTGATGCGAAGTTTGCATCTCGAGAATTGACTTTTTGTGAGACTCCTACAAACATAAATACTACTTGAACTCCAAAGTACGACAAAAATTAGTTAAACTTTGAGCTTGTGTTCGCTACTAATAGTAGTTCTGTTTGCACATTCGTAGCTCAACAAGATAGACCAGGGCTATATTTTGAATTATGCGATGTTTTGTTTACCTTTGATTAACATTGCAACGTCAAGAAGGCAACAGAAAGTAAGCACAAACATACTAACATTCCAGCACAAATGCTGCAATGTGATTGGTGACGCTACTAGGTATCTATTACGCGATAGCTAGCAGGTTAAGGAAACCTAACAATGATCAGCGGTAAACGTCGAGCTGATACTGTGACGTTTTGGGCGACTGGTAGATTAACACCGAACCAGATATATTTTGAGTGCAAGATTCATATCGGGCCCACAACCTCGTTGCCCGTTAATTAACAGTTAATTAACAGTTCAATAAAAATTGAAAAACACTCAAAAGGCGATGACGAAACAAAAAGAAGAAGAAGAAATTAAGATGGCTAAAGACCAAAAATATTAAAAAAAACGAATTGCGTACAACAGAATTGAAAATGACAGCCAAAGTACTCAGAGGAGGGCCTATTGGAACGTTTAGGATACATGTATTTCCCGTCCTTAATCAAACTTTATCATAGTTGTTTGGTTTACCTGTGGTTCTAAATCCACAAGACACCTTCACTCACCTCTAAGGCAGAACGTGCCTCGTCCAGTTCCTGTCGTTGTTTCTGACCCTGTAGCGCAACTCTTTCCTTTTCCTCCTGTACTTCAGCGTATAATCGCCGCCTTTGTTGTTGATAAGCTTGTTCCTCTTGCTCCAGCTGCTTTTCATACCTTCACCAACAAAAGAAATGAACACCAAATTATAAAATTCACCAAGGAAACCAGCAAACACACTCGTTTAAGGTTCAAACACCGACGATGATGTGCTATCTGTCGTTCTAGCTGTTGGTTAACACCGAAAAGAAAATTCACACGTGAGAGAACATTTACCTTTGTTGAGAAAGTTCTCTCTCTCGTGCACAGGCGTTTTCCTTCTCTCTCTCCAACTGATCTCTCAGTTCTTCTATTTGCTGTATGTATCTTCTACCTGCACGTTCATCGGCCTCCAGCAACTCCGCCTGTCATCGAATAAATATATCTTATTAGACATAATTCGGAGCGAAGGGCTAACGCTCCGACGAAGGGCTAACGCTCGAAACGTCAGCTTTTGTAATCGTTACGGTGGCCAATTTACCATTTCAACTCTGTTGATCTTTCCAAATTATTTCGTTACCCCCACCGACGCAGCCCCAAACAGTTTCTTTCGAAACTATCAGCCTTTATTCATTTGTTACCTTATTAGACGTTTTGTTGTGTAGTATCGCTGAGTATTTTTACGAGATGTGTCGTATTTTGACGAGCCCGTAGGGCGAGTCGAAATACAAATAACGAGTAAAAATACTCAGCGATACTACACAACAAAACGTCTAATAAGGTAACAAATGAATAAAGGCTGATAGTTTCGAAAGAAACTGTTTGGGGCTGCGTCGGTGGGGGTAACGAAATAATTTGGATATATCAACAAAGTTGAAATGGTAAATTGGCCACCGTAACGATTACAAAAGCTGACGTTTCGAGCGTTAGCCCTTCGTCGGAGCGTTAGCCCTTCGCTCCGAATTATGTCTAATAAGATATATTTATTCGATGACAGGCGGAGTTGCTGGAGGCCGATGAACGTGCAGGTAGAAGATACATACAGCAAATAGAAGAACTGAGAGATCAGTTGGAGAGAGAGAAGGAAAACGCCTGTGCACGAGAGAGAGAACTTTCTCAACAAAGGTAAATGTTCTCTCACGTGTGAATTTTCTTTTCG